GCAAACTCATAGCATGTTCCACTCTGAGGCGAGCAGAACTTATCACAGCGACCGCAACCGTCGGCATGAGCTCAGCCTCCCTGGGGAGCTCCCGGAGCTTCCTCCGCTGCTTGCGCAGTCCAAGAAGTAGTGCTTACCCTTGTACTCATACTGTGGATGGACAAAATCCTGCACCACCTAAGAATGCATGGAATGATGATTCCCCCGCAAATATCAACAAACAATGGCTTCCCATGGTTTCGAAGTGGTGTTTGTCCATCCACAGTAGCAACTGGAACTCTCTGGGGAGCAGTAGGCTGTGCGGCAGCCATTGCAGCACCCTGCGTGTTGCCAGGAGGATCCCAAGAAGGACCTCAAGACCGCGCTTTGTGCTGCAGGAGGCTCTGGAAACTCTGCGGCTGCGGAGGCTACGCATGCCAACGCAAGGGCGACGCAGGCAACCATGTGTTGGGGTGCTGCTGCTGGAAGCTATGGATGAAAGTTGCCAACGGATGCTGGCGCTGCAAATCTTGGGATGACTCACCCTCCATCACGGCGGAAAGCGAGAACCACATGGCCAGGGAAGAAGGGTACATCTTGATATGGCTATAGTGATTTTCTATCCATTGACCAGCGGCCCTCTCGGGTGCTTGCAACGGAACTTGGAGACATCCGCCCAGGCCGATCGCGATCGGTTCGACGAGCCAGGAAGGCGAAACTGACAGACTGCGAGCAGACGTGCCCCGGATTTCCCTGGTAGGCATTGCCTCACCAGAAGGAGGCTCACTCAAAACTGGCCAAACAAAATGATGCCCAAGCCACTAGGGGGAAACGCCCAAAAGAAACAAGCGCTGTCCTGGGCAAAGTCGAAGATCTTCCTGCAAAGCTCTGAGTCGTTGACATGCCGGAGCCTGCAGCGTGAAGATAGCTGTCTGTGGCTACTGAAGATTAACACCGGCACGTCTTTTTTTGAGGGAACCCGTTTGGTGTTGGAGGGAAACCAAATTGAGAAAGTCCATGTTGGGGATTGCGCCATTTCGAGACAAGCCCAACACAGAATCCTTACAGGAATCTCCGTATGGGGGGCGGGCATAGAAACGACAAGGTAACTTGGGAATGTCTCAACATGACCTCCCCTATTGGGAAGGGATGAACAAGACCCTGGTTGATTGCTGGGGGGCCCAATTTTCTCTGGCGGTTTTCCCTTTGTACGCCAGCAAGGGCGCCTTCAAAACAACACGCCCACATTGGTCTACGCTTTCGTCTCAAATAGGAAACAAGTTCCCCTTTGCTTGTTGTTATCAGGGAGAAAAGAAAGCTAAGGAGAAACAGGGAGACTTTGGTTGGTTGCGCCTGTGCGCTGCACATAAACAGGATTGATTTGTCAAAAGGTGTTCTGTACACATGGCAACGGGGTGTTATTTCGAAGCCGCCACCCCCAGTGAGCATCCGAATCCCCACTAAAGTAGACTAAAATGGGTGGTGCACCTACCCCGTTGGTCCTTTTTTGATACGCTTTTAATATCCTACATGGGTGGATCCACAGATTCGCCACATCCAAACCCGTTTTCTAGATAATCCCGTAGGTGGTTTCTCAAGCAAGCACTTTGAAACCATGGAAAACCATCACGCTTATTGGTATTTACAGGGGAATCCAATCAGAACCAGGGTTCCGTTCCTCGGTGGTGCATAAAAGGATCTCACAACCATCCACAGTACTCGGTTGCTTTCTGCTCCCCTGCTGAAAGTTTTTAACTTTTAGTGGTTTAATACAGAAAACCCATTGATTGGCAACAAAATGTTCAGTCCTAACATCCCTTGGCAACATGCACCAAAGTGTTGCAGTGGAACCTTCTCTTGCGAGCAAGAACACCGAGAGGACGACCCATCGTCAGCTGCGGTGAACATGGTTGGGATTGATCTCCACAGTTTCACAGTTTCACCAGTCCAAATAGAGAACCCAAAGAATCCGCAGCTGCGGATGTGTCAAACGGATGCACCGAACCATCCACAGTTTCACCAGTTCACCCGGTCCGACGGCCCGACGGCCCGACGGTCCTAGCGAAGGCGTGCAGCATGTTGGCCGCTTGCCAAGGCTGGTCCGGATCCAGGCGCAACTGGGCAAAGGGAAGCAACCATTTCGACCACCAAGAATAAGCGTGAAGTATGACACATGAACCACAACAAGCCAAAATAAGCCAACATAAACCAACATAAACCAACATAAACTAAAATAAACCAAAATAAAACCTTTCCAACTAAAATAAGCCAACCAGGACGGGTATCATTATCCAGGAGCCCTCGTTCACAACTGTGAACGAGGGCTGGTAACGAGGGCTGGTAATTCGACGAAACGGCTCTTGCCCAACCGAGAAACAGAAGCGTAGACTGTGAAAAGAGAGCTCCGACTTGGCCTCCCTTAGCTCACCAAAGACATCAGGAAGACTGGCTGGTTGCTTGGAAGGAACGACCGCACCGAGCGGGAAATCAGAAGGACGGTGGACCGGCCCTAAGCGAAATCCCGAAACCCGAGCCGACATCTGACACCGTTGCCAAGATTTACAACTGCCATTTGCTCTAATCCAACAGGTCATGCTGCTTGTGTGTTGCGTGTGTGTTGCGTGTGAGTGGAGGATTACGTTCCTTTGCAGTCAGGGAAAGGGAGAGGGTGTGGTTCACCCCCACCCAAACAGGGCCAGGGCTGCGGCAGCGCTGTGAAATCGGGCGCCATGCGGGGCTCCAAGGGGCGCGTAGACATTCCAACAGTCAGACAGACCCCCGTGCTCTCCAGGCGCTGTTCGCCAAACTTCTTTCCCCGGTTTCTGCGAAAAAGACGCCCATCTGCTCACACCCCTAGCCCCCCAACTTCAATGTTGTCAAGGAGCGCTGTCACGTCTGAAGTTAATATGGGCGTTTTGTCGGCAGGCTTCGTTCACAAGGGGCGCGTCCAACTTTGAAGTTGGGGGGTCAAGGGGCTTGGCGCCTGTTGTCAAGGCGGCTTTGGAAAGATGTATGTGTAGTTTGTTTGTTTTTTCTTTTAGGTTTTTTCTTTTCTCCGCAGAACCTTTTTATTGTCCTAACTCTGGGTATTTGCGTCAACCCTTTGAAATCTCGCCAGCTGCCTGCTTCGCTGCCTTTTGAGCTCTTCTTCTTGTGTCCAAATCCCTCAAACAACCCCCCCGCCCCACTTCGGAAAGAAAAAAAACACAAACCCCCAAACCTCCCAACCCCCCCCCCCGCAAAATGCCCCAACCCCCAAAACCCAAAACCCCATTCCCACCAATTCCCCGGCGCCTGGCTCAGGCGACGCGCCAAACTCTCCAGGAGCTTCGGGTTCAAGGCATCCGTCGACTCGCGACGCAGTCCCTCGAGCCCCTGCAAAATCCTGGGCGCAAGATGGCCTTTCCGGTTCTGCAGGTCATTTAGTGGGTCAAGACCAATGGGATCCCATTTTGGGCTAGGTGCACCACCCATTTCAGTCTAATTTAGTGAGGATTGGGATGTTCACTGGGGTGACCCATGGCCATTTTTCTGCAAAGAGGGAAATGAAAGCCAGCCCGGCTTTGTGCAAAATGCTCCAACATACTCTCATTCAATGGGAAAAAAATCGCCCCAAGAGCCTGGAAATGAAAGGTAGCTCTGCTCCAACAAATATTATCATTCTTCAAGTGAATGAATGAAACAACTCGTCCTCTGCCAACTGTTGCAACGTAAAAGTGCGCATTCTTCAAGTGAACGAAACAAATCCTCTGCCAAAAGTTGAAACGTGCGTAAGAGAAACCAAGGATCATCTGCAGATCCCGCGCCGTGAGGTCCTATGCGAACTCGAACTTCGAACGCAGTGGCACTGGGAAAGCCGTAAGCCGGGGAAAACGCAGGAAAGGTGTTCTGTTGTTGGGCGCACAAGTTGCAAGGGATGGTAATGTTCAAAGTGGAGGGCTTTTTGTAGAGATGTGTTTTTTCCGCATCAATTGCGAAGAGTAAGATGTTCAAGTCAAGTACTGTGTTGTCCGGACTTGACACACGTTGAAGGTATACGTTTTTCTGGACGCTCAAGAATAAGCCGTCGCATTAGCAACGCCGAAACGGCTTCGCCTGGGGCCTTCGGATCAAGGGGAAGGAGAGACTACATGAGATGCCGACGCGCGTCCTGCAACTGGAACAATATCAGAGTGGGCTCTGAGCCCCAGGAATCTTCAACTGAAAGCTTCCCGCGGGTTTGTAGGGGACGGTCAGCACATCTCGGGCACCCGGATGTGGGACACAAATTCCCGGGAAGGGAAGCTGTAGAGCTCCCACCAAATGGCCCGGCCGGCTTGTCACTCGGGAGCCAGTTCATGGTGCACGGGGTCCAAAGAACTACAGATCTTATGGCAATTCTGGCAATAGCATCTCAGAGAGGCTGCACGTGTTGCATGTAAAGTGCAAAACCCCTGAATTGTTCAAACTGTCAATGCTGACAAAAGAACCATGCTGAAACTATGTAAGCTCTCTAAGCTCTTCTCGGAAAGCATCTTCAACTTCAACAGTTGTCCCTGGGGCCTTGGTTCGTATTCAAACATGCGACATATTGTAACTCATCCATCCCATTTGAACAAGCGCAGCTGGTTGGGTGAGCCGAAGAATGCTTCACCAACTTGGATAAGGGGTCTACACGTGGCGTCTGCCTGAAACAGTTCAGGCTGGTCTTGTGCTCGACGGCCAAAGGGGCCGAATGCGGCTGTGCCGCACCCGTCTCCCCACCCCTTTTTGGGCGTAGCTTTCAAGGAAGCCCAAACAAAGACCACACAGGTTCCCACTTAGGGGCAGACGCGCATGATACTTGCAACCCATCCGAATCGAAGAAACACAGTGTGTATGCAATTTCGCCAGAACGCATGCCAAGCAAAGAAGGCACTTTGCAGTTGTCCTTTTCAACATGAGCAAACAAGCCGACCAGAAGAAGCTTGAGCCTGAAAGCATCCACGTAAGTTCCGACATCCTGTCCACATTAAGTTTCTCTCAGTATCTCCAACAAACCAATGGTTTCTAAATGGGGGAACCCAAGATAAGTGGTTTGCGTGAACCCCCCCCCCTAAGGCGCCCTCCTGCATCCCAGTTGACCAGTTGCTCGACATCTCTCGAGTGTATTGCTTCCAAAAAACGCTTGCTGGCCACTTAATGACCTTAACCATAACATGTGTAATCCCAGGGTGTTCTACACAACTCATCATCCATCCACAAACATGGAAGCTGACGGGTTCCATGTAGGTTGAGCTTTTCACTAATTTTAGAAAGCACACGCTATGATTTACATGAGCTAAGTCTACTTATGTAAGCCTTTTGACCCTGCCACCCTCACGTGTACGCGACTGGGCGCCCCTAGAAGACGACTTTCAGTTCAATCCTCAAGCAATCTGTTGAAAAAACACAAAACACAAACCCCTCAAACCAAAGCCAAACCAAAACGTGGCTGAAAAAATGAAAAGAAACCCACAAACCCATTAAACATCTCGAAGCAGAATCCGTCAAGCTGACCTGTGCAATGTTGCGTGCTGTCTCCGACCTCGCGCGCTGACCTTGGCTGAAATCTGTCGTGCGTCACCCGTCCTCGCGGAGCGCGGCGGCCCGCCGCAGCAGCAGCGGCGCCAGCGCGGGGTTTCGCTGGCCGCGGAGGCTGTGGCAGAAAAGCGCCAGCTCTCCTTCGCGCGCACCGGTTGGTGGGTGGGTGGGTGGGTGGGGTGGGGTGGGGTGGGGTGGGGTGGGGTGGGGTGGGGTGGGGTGGGGTGGGGTGGGGTGGGTGGAGTGGGGTGGGGTGGGTTGGGGTGGTTGGTTGCTTGGTATGGAGTGATTCCGGCATGGGCCTTCTTCTGCTCAAGCTTTGGGCTGAAGGCTAAGGCTTTTCAACAAATGCTGCATGTTTTTCAGCAAGCAGTTTCTCTTCGAGAAGTAACCTATCCCCCTTTTGATCCAAGAGATGATCCTTCACAGAGTCGTTGCGCAAGCCCAGTCAGGTCTACAATAAATTTGCCCTTGCTGTAGAATGTTAGTGCGTCTTCATTTTGAGGGTACCTTTTCTTCTCTCTTGGCTTTAAAGAACCAAGAGGAACACCTCCATTTAGGGGTCCCTGTAAGGTAAAAAAAAAAAAACGATACACCCATCTAAGTTCCATTCACCCCCTTGCAAGCTCCACGGGTCGCAGGTGAGGAGCAGCATGGGTCCATTTGATAGACTAGATCCACCAGGTTCCTTTCCGGAAGCGCTCCGGTGTGCAAATCAACACCACAGAAATGAAGGGAAGGCATATGCCCCAAAACCGACACTTCCTACCATCCCTGCCAGGCCATCTTACCATGCCCACATGGGTATGGGCAAAAAAGAAAACACCAGCAAACCGCAGGTTTCAGTGCTTGGTTCCATTTATCAGGGCATGTTGGGCACCTATTTCTGAATGAAACGCAACCTCGCCGCTTCCGAGCGGCTTGGCTGCATCTCAGCTTCGTTGGACTTTACCACCTCGGCTGGACACTTTGGACGCGAAGACAAGTGCCCTGCCCAAAGAAACAAACGGCGATGGGTGTGTCCTTGATTAAGGGTACCCTTTTTGGGTTGGTATGAAGGGAAGCCAAAAGGATACGGTTGCCCCTGTAGACACACCGTAGGTTACCCAGGTCGAGCTCAGACTCGGCCAGTTGCATTCGCCCATCTCATCACATCTTCTTTCACGTCCAATGCTCGTTCGGCGCGCATGTTGGACTCATGCTTAGATCAAGTTGAGGTTTGTCCAGCTCGAGACTTGCTGCTTTTGCGAAATGGTTCAAATGTCAAACGATTACATTTCACTTGGCGGGAAACTTGTAACTGACAGGAGGGTTTTCAGGCTACTTCCTTCTACGGAAGGACCCGATCTACTTCTTAGACTGCAACAAGTTGACGGAGACCCGGAAAGGCAACACGTTAAGATGGCAAGCTACTGTGGATGGACGAAATCCTGCACTGCACCACCAAAGAAAACCCCTGGTTGCTGATGATTCCCCAACGTAAATACCAACAAAACTTCATGGTTTCAACCTGGCGCCAAAGAAAATGGATTTTGCCACCACCATTCACAGCAAGTCTCTGACCAAACGGCTGTGGGTCAACAATAGGTACCCCAAATGGGTTGCCCTGGTAAGTGGAAGCCTGGACCAAAACCTGCGGGCTTTTTGGTGGTTTAATTTTGACCCAAACCTAAATGAGTCACAATCAAAACCTGGTACAAAAATGGTGAACCCAGAACCATGCTTCAAGAATTAAGAAGACGGATATCCGTTGACGAATGCCCTTCTGCATAAACACCCCCCTCGATATGCGGGACAGAGTGCGGGACAAAGTGCGGGACAAAGTGCCGGACAAAGTGCGGGACAAACTGCTGGACAAACAACTGTCCGGCAAGTTGTCCGGGGGGTTGTCCGGAGTGTTGTCAGGAGGGTTGTCCGCGCACTTTGCCAAGATTTATGCTGCAAACCCCCCTCCCGCGAGAATACTTCCCTCCGAGTGGTTTCCGAGTGGTTTTGAGCGGGTTCCGAGTGGTTTCCGAGTGGTTTCCGAGCGGTTTCCGAGTGGTTTCCGAGTGGTTTCCGAGTGGTTTTGGCGTGTTCCAAACCTGTCCGAAGACTTGTCCGGGGGTTTGTCCCGGGTTCTTGGGCCCTCAAACCTGTCCGGAGGGTTGTCCGGGGGTTTGTCCGGGGGTTTGTCCCGGGCTTTTGGGCCCTCAAAGCTGTCCGGAGGGTTGTCCGGGGGTTTGTCCGGGGGTTTGTCCCGGGCTTTTGGGCCCTCAAAGCTGTCCGGAGGAGGGTTGTCCGGGGGTTTGTCCGGGGAGTTGTCCCGCTGATTTTAGGCCCTAAAGCTGTCCGGAGGGTTGTCCGGGGGTTTGTCCGGGGGTTGTCCGGGGTTTTAAGCCCGTTTGGACCCAAAATGTGAAAACAGGTGTTTATGCAGAACCGCCTCTGTCAAGATATCCGCAACTATTTGCGGCTGGGACTGCTTACTAACCTCCATCAATCCCCGGGTTTTGATTGTGGCTAGAGATAGCGATGCTGTCTGTCGTGTCATCTGGGACTTTGCCGAATCAAGACTCAACACCCAACAAACGAAGAAGACCGTTTTGATTGTGGCTCAAATGCGCCCCGCGAGGAGCGACTCCGACTCCGCGCCCTCCGCGCCCTCCGCGCCCTCCGCGCCCTCCGCGCCCTCCGCGCCCTCCGCGCCCTCCGCGCCTCCGCCACCTCCTCCCAGAACTGCGCGGCGCCCAGCGGCTGCTGCGCCAGGCGCTGCACCGCGCAGGCCAGGTCCCAAAGGCTGCCCTCGAACTTGGCGCTGCCCTCGGGAGAGAAGATAGCCAGCTGGGGTCTCCAAATGGGAGGGGGGGAGGGGGGTTGGGGCTCTGGAAAAAAAGAAACAGAAAAAAAAAACGTCAATCGCTCCTTTTAGCGCCTTTGGGGCGGTGTCTCGAAAAACATGTAAAAAAGCGTCAAGCACTTTAAAAGAGCCTTTGGGGGAATTGACTAAGGGCCATGGGCCATTTGGGGACCAGTGTAGTAGTAGGGGTCTTCCCGAAATCGGAGTACCAGTAATGCTCAATTCTTCTCAGAATAGCAAGTCTCCTCACCCAGACCTCCATTTCTATGGGGCTTTCCTTTGAAATCAACGATACCCCCGGAAAAAGCCAGTCTTTTTATACCCGAGGGCTTCTCACCATAGGCACACCACCTCCAAGCCGGCGAGCATATGAACACCTTTGGCACACGCGCTTGCCATGGGGGTCTTCTGTTGGACCCGGAAAGTGTGTCCCATGCAACATGGACTCTTGCTTTGTCTTTTCCGGGCTGTCCTCAGATCCGCCAAAAGTCTGCTTTTTTTGGCTTTTTTTCTCGGACACCCAACCACCAAACCGACCAAAGGCCCACCTAAAAACCCCAAGGAACCGCAAACGACTCGACGTGACACCGCCGTCCCGCGCCTTTCGAAGCCGCGCCTCGCGCAGCGCGGAGGTGAAACCTTCCACCAGGAACTCCACTCGCTGGGAGTTCGCCTCGTGAGGCTCCGGAGGGAAGTCCGACAAGGTCCTTGGTCTTCCCTTGGGGCCGGCAAAACCAGGGTCCTTCGATCCGATTTTGTTCTTCAAATGGAAATTCGGCCAAAGGCCTGCTTTTCCAGGGTCCTGGAAGATCAAGGAGGTGGGGTTGCCTGGGGCTAAGCTTGTTGAGGGTAAATGGGAAACCGGTAAATGGGAACCCCTATTTTGATTTGAGGGCAGGAATCCCACCAGCACCACCACTGCTACTGGTACCACTCCTACTACACTGGTCGCCAAATAGCCCATGGCCCAGTAGTCAATTGCCCCCAAAGGCCAAAAGGAGGTTGATGCTTTTTCGAACCCCTGTTCTTGTTGAAAATAAATTGGAAACCACCCCGTTTCACCTCCAAACCAGAAATGCAAACCACCAACTGATGGTAACCTGAAATTTAAACTTGCTGGTTCGATAGGCAGGGAAAGATAAATGCAATCACCCCGAGACAAACCATCCTCTGTGGCCTCCTTTCAGGGATTTGTTTAGGTTCATTCCAAACCCTGTGTCATTCCCACCGAGCACCAGCAAGAAAAGTATGCTGAACAAAGTGTCACCCCTGACATCCTCAAAGAAAGTAGAGTATGGCAAGAAGCTTCAATCCAAACCCTCATGTGACATTGACCATTTTTTTTACTCCTCTGTGTTGGTCCTCTTCTAGGTCCTCCAGTAGAGAGGTTAGAATAAGGGTACCAACTTTTTTCTGTCGTCTATTTTGGTAGGGGAACCCTCCCCAAAAAAGGCGCAAAAAGGGCACTACTGGGGGACCTAGTCTTTTGTGAAACTCGGAGAAACCCTGTTGAAAACATCCAAACGAGAGTTGCCTATCTTGACCTCCCGTGTATGCGATGCCTCCAGTGATGGGAAACTTGGAATGTTCAAGGGAAGCCCCGCCAAATTGAGGAGAACAGGGCACCACTGGAGGTCGTTTTGTGTGTGTGCGGTTTGCCAACCCCTGTCAATTCATTCCACCTGCACGGACTTGAACTCATTGAGCCAATGGATCCATGCTTGTCCTGCGGAAGGAACCTATCCCCACGGGTTTCCCAACATCAGGGTCACAAACGACATGTTTGGTTTCCCCAAAAGCGGCTTCTCCAAAGCAAACACCCCCAGGCCTCGTTTTTTGGAGTCCGACACACCACGTGCCGCCTCTATGGCGTCAACCCCATGGCACGAGGAAAACTCGCCTCGCCCTTGAGCTAGCAATCCAGAACATTAAATACCACTCGCGTGAGGCACATAGCGTTCCCGAAAGACGAGTCTTTCGTCTGGGAAAGGGCTTCATGCACTTCCAGGATAGTTGGGAGGGTAACTGGGCTGTGCTCAGATCCCCCGCTAAAAGTGACTAACTTTTAGTTGGTTCAATGGACATCCAACCACTAAACACCAAAAGGCTAAAAAGCTAAGGAACCGGATGGCTGGGAGTCACCAAGGTAAGTGCAAGATCTTTGACCAGAATCATTCTAGGGGTTAATTCCATGTCCATTCTTTTCAACCACCGTTCTTTTCAATAACCGATCGCTGCTTCCCCAGGGTTTTAAACGGTTTTCTGGAAAGAGTCGGATCCCTGGGTTAAGACTGGAAATGGAAGCTACCCCTAGAAATTTGGGTCTACCAAGACATATGCGTCTGTCGTTTTCTTTTTTTGGGGGTACCCGTTGTTGGTTGTTGCTTTTTTAGGGAGAAGGGAAGCTACCTAGAAAAAGGGTGCCACCCTTAAAACAAGCAGACCCTTGTCGCCCAAGCCACAGAGTTGTCCCATCTCCGTCGGTGTCGCCCGCCTGCCGGATCGCCAGCAGCAGCTCCCGGGAGACATTGAACCCCGGGGAGCCCATGGAGCTGATCGGCGCATCCCGTGGCGTTCCTTCTACCCGACACCACGTGACGCCATGCTTGAAACCACGTTGCTAGGTCACAACAGACTCGAATCAGAAACCAGGGCTTCTTAGGTGCCTAGGTCTCCTTTTTGCGTAAATTCATGGGCTTCCCTGGTAGATGATTGAAAATACCACCAGGTCAACCAGGAATCGCCCTCGATTTTTCAGCCAAACCAAAAGGGACACCTATGCATCTACGTCTTTGGAGATGGGTGTTGCAAAGGAAACCTGCATGAACCCAGCCAAGTCAAAACTTCGCCCCAAACCTCCATCCCACAAAATGCATGGTACATGTAAAAACTCATGAAAAGATGAGTGCGGCAACATTCACACAGGAATTTCTGGGAACATGCTTGATCATGGCGTGGCGTGAATAGACCCCTCGACCTGATTGATTTGCTCATCGACCTGTGACTTTTGTCATATACTTGAGCCATTGGGGTGGGTGGTGTTGGGGGTACTCCCAAAATGGCGGGTTTCCTGTTGGTTTCCCTTTAAAACAAGGCCTAGCCTCGAAAGAGACCCACCCGTTGACGCTTGCCATGCCCAACTAGCTGCGCGCACTTCAAAAGTGCAAGCCCCCAAAAGGAGATTGGAGTTCCAAATGGGCGTGTCTCAAAGTAGGGGACACCTTTTTGCATGGTTGTTTTGAGGAAAAAAAAAAACACCACCTACCTGGAGGGCTCCCCAATTTTGAGAGACACCCATATCAATCAGCAGGATACATGGGCATGGGTCGAAATCAAACCATAGGGGACAGCAGGCTGTAGTCCATGTTTCCACTTACCAAACCAACCCATTTTGGGGTTACCCTATTTTTGACCCACAGCCACATCATTTTCGACCCTTTGACCAAATTCCCGGTGGACCGTCAACCCCAAAATCGGCCTGGTCGCCTCGGTTCCGCTTCCGGTGCTAGGACATCCCGCGAATCCCGCTTCACCAGACTCCATGGCTTGAGTTCTGTGGTCCCCAAGCGAAGTTCCGCGTTCGCGCGGTGTCGAAGCCAGGCTTTGGCTTTGGTGGAGACAAGTTTGATGGACCGCCACGAGGACACCAAGTGAAAAGCGGGCTTTTTCAGGCAAAGGCATATGTCGAGCCATCGGCATAGATCCACTGGCTTCCTTGAAATGCCAGGCAAAAAGGCCAAGCCTTGCGTGCGCACAACATTTCTTCGCCTTTTTGATCCGCTGCAGTGGGCGTGACTCGGGAATGGAAGGCCCGACGCGTGCTTTGGGACGTGGAAACTCCGGCAGAACAAAGCAGAGCACGCGTGCGTGCCCGATTCCTGATTGTCTCTTGCAAAGCCGCGCACATGTCGGGATGCAGAGTTCCAAGAATCATATCTAGGTCCTCCAGTAGAGAGGATAGAATAAGGGTACCCTTTTTTCTGTAGTCTATTTTAGTTGGGGGAACCCTCCCCCAAAACAGGATACAAGGGCACTACTGAGGGACCTAGGTCTTGGTTCGGCAAACTCTTCATCCGACATGGAGCCCCAGAATTCAATTCGTCCCCGAATCGCCGACTCACCGAGCTCTCAAGGCGTCCGCTACGCCTCGCAAGCCGGGCCGTGGGCGGATCCTGACAACTCAACCTGCGTGCAAAAGAGTCATTCACCAGGGACGCTGCCTAACCTGGAGCCGCGGAAAGAACGTGATCTCTGGGGATGCAAAGGGCAAAGGGCAAATGACTCCCCACGCTCACTGCCGTGTCACAAGACACGCCACACGCCCTGGATCTCAAGCATGCCAGTTGAAGCGGCAAAAGCTACCAAGCAGCACAGGCTGCCCTGCAATTTTGATCAACTGGTCGGTCGCATGTGTCGCACAAAGCTTGGGCTTTACCCCACTCTAGGGCTCCAATGCCCAAACCAGCGGCAAGCCTTCCGCTCAAGAGCAGGCCAAACAAACTAGCCCAACATCTGGCTGCTGCAGATCTGTACATTTAAGCCTCACGATTGTTGTGAGACCGGGAAAACGGCATGTTTGACCTTGAGCCTAGCTGCTTGTCATGCTGTAGGGTTCTACCACCGTGCCAGCTCTACTGCACTGTGGAGGTCAAGAACCTTGCCGAAGCAAGCCTCTTTGCGCGATTCTGCCCAGCAAGTTCACTTTGTCGAAGCCGGCAAAGCAAGCTTGGACCAAACCGTCTTCGTCAAAGATGAGACACTGCAGCTCCCTGTTGAAGAGCTCTTTGTCCTGGATCTTGCCCAAGATCAGCTGTGTGTCAGCAGGGTTGGACGCACTCATCTCTTCCACTCTGAGCATGTGCAGCCACTGCTCGTGCTGCTTCAGGTTTGCTTCGGAAAAAATGCTCATGCGTTGCGGCATCCTCTTCTGCTGAGCACAGTGGATCTCTGCCACGCACCATGCCCTCGTAAAGAGGTTGAAGCTCACTGCGATCAGCGGTGTTGCGGAAGGCCAGGTAGCTCATCATGTCATCAAACTTGTTCATCTCACAGAAAACGCTTTGCCCATCTCTCAGGGGCGTGTCACTCCAGCACTTGGGCTCGCATTCGCAGGGTCTCGGGGCTCGGCTGGTGACCGGGTCCTGCATGCTGGGTGGCACAAATCCGCAAATGCCCATGTGCTGGTTCACGGCGAATGCGCATATCCTCGACCAGACTTAGACCCGCAAAAAGTAGAACGGTTGAAAGGAAAAGAAGGAAGGAAACCCAAGGCAAGAAGTTGAGGAAAGGCCAGCTAAGTCCGGCGATGTCGCCAATATCTCCTCTCCAGCTTGCCTTTCCAGTAGAGTTCCGACTTGAGCGCCTGAAGCTCCCTTGGCTGCAGCCGTCCGTCCCGCAGCACCTTCGCATACCCCGGGACCTTCAAAGCGTCCGCGACCACAGCTGCCACCAAACACGCGAAGCGGTTGGACCAGCTGTGCGTCACCATGAGGTCCGGCATCAAAGCTTTGCCTCAGTTGTTCAGTGACCCTGTAAAAAAGGGAACCCTTTCTGGGGAAGACCATTTTTAGTGGGGCAGAAACAAAAAAGGGGAAAAAGGGTGCCACTGAACAACTGAGTTGCCCATGAGCACCACAGCCGCTGCGCAGTCGCCATGGATGGTGGCCTGGCGTACTACATCCTCAGTGGTGTGCTTCTCCGGGTCGAAATGGGGCATTCTCTCCGGCAGACTGCCTTGGGTGACGTTGGAAGGGGAGCAAAAATTGAAACTTTCGCAGTTGAGTGGTTGGATTTCAACCACTAAACCACAATAAGCAAAAATGCAAAATGTGTCCCAACAACAACCACGCTGCTGTAGTCCAGCAAGGCACCCAGCGTCACTGCGCGCGATAGGTCAGCCACCTTGGCATCCCAGTCCGGGTGCCCGGTCGTGGGCGGCCTTTCCGTGCGCTCATTGACCTCCATCAATGACAGAATCGCGCCAAAGCGCGCGCAGTTGGTCAGGGAGAGCATAGCCATCAATAGGAATGCAGGCTCTGCAGCAGGGCCGAGCTTGCAAATGAAATTGCCAGGGAAGTGAACATGAAGCAGCCACACTATGTGGCTGGCAAAGCTTGCTGCCACCAGAATCATGTTCACAGGCGTCTCTATGAACATCCGCTTCGAAAATGTCACCGACTTTGCGGCAAGTGCTCTCTGCACCAGGCTCGAGGCAGCAATGCGCTCCTTGCGGGCATAGCGGTAGGCCAAGCCAAAGCCCCGCATCATGAGCACCATCAAGAACAAAGTGGAGACCACTGCAATCTCAATGGCCACCACGCCAGCGACTAGCCAGCGGTCACCCTGGACATTGAACACCACGAAGAGCATGCTCGCTGACTGCCACACCAAAGGACATCTGCAGACCTAGAAACTTGGCCCCCAGGGGCCGCTGGAATGCCCGCGAGGTGGCATGCCGAGGTTTTTGATCACGGAAAAGCCCATGAAGTTGTTCCACAAGAAGAGCTGGCTGAAGACCGACAAAGAGAGACTGGCCAGCTGCCATTCGGCGGCGGCGCATGAAGGCTGCACTGAGAGGTTGTGGAAGAGCCACACGTTGCATGCGTCCAGCAGCACGTGCCACCGCAGCAGGATTAGGAAGGGGCTCCCCAGCCACCACTTCATCTGGGAGTACAATACCAGGCCCAGGCAGATCATGGACAAGACGGCCGTGAAGACTACCTGCTGCGGCCAGCGCCAGCAGAGTGGCAGCAGCCGACCTCAACCACGCCCACCGCCGCACTGCGGACCATTTTGTGGCCACCTCCTCTTGCCCGCATGCGCTCGATGCGGTGCTGCCGCCTTCCGATGAGTCGCTCGCCGTGTCTTTCATGAGCTTCGTTTCGGCTTGAGCCAAACTCACGTGCCCGATCACTTGCGCACATGCCGGATTCTAGGGTTCGAATCAACATTGCTTGGCTCCGACCATTGTGCAGGGTGGACGAGGACGAGTGAGCTGAAAGAGCTGCAAAGGGACCCAAGGGTAATCCTGAGGCCCCCTCCCTATGGCAACATACCTACTGTAAGCCTCGAACATGGCTTGCTGAGCCGCACTGCAGCAGAAACTGGTGAGATGCTCCTTTGGGCGCCACCCCTCCGTTGCTAAACCAATCGAAAAGGACGCAGTATTGTTTCTCAAGTCAAGCCCCCCATGAATTTGTTGGGAATCAGAAAACGCTCACACTGGTATTGGATCTGGTTTGGTAGAACCCCAGGAACTGCAGGCACTGCACTTGCATACCACACTTCACACCGACACTCAACCCAAAACGCCTAAAGAACACTCAACGCAAAAAGAAGACAAACTCGGTCGCTTTCTGCTCCCCTGCTAAAAGTTGAAAACTTCTAGGGGTTTAATGGAAAACCCATTAGTTGGCAAAAAGTTAAAGTCCTAACATAAGCAAAATGCATAGCAAAGCTGAAGCACCCTCCCAAGCTCCAGCTCCCAGCTCTGGCCTCAGGTTGGAAGACAGCATCCAGGCAGTCGCAGAACTGGCGGAAATTTCCGCCCGAAGGCCGCTGCTGGCTTAGTGACTATCTAACCATAGGTGTCCTTTTTGGGAAAATAGATGGGTTTCCCTGGTAGTTGATTGAACCACCAGGTAAACCGGGAATCACCCTCTATTTTTCAACCAAATCAACCAACAAGGACACCTATGTATCTAACTCGCTCACCAGCCAGCTTGCTAGACAAGGGCAGTACTGAAGCAGCCAAGGGAACCGTGTTCACCCGTCCAAGCCACCAAGCCAAAACACAAACATCAGGGCTGTTTCGTGAAAGAACTTGATTGATGCGAGGGAGCCTCCTTCCCAAGCGACAATGAACTCCCGCCAGTTTCCACCCCCCAACCCACTAGCATGGTATGAACAAACGCATTGCTTTTGCAGTGACCTGCTCAACATGAACAGCACCAAACAAAGCCAAAGCTTAACAACGAACACTTTTCTTTGACCGAGAACCTGTTTTTGTCTGCCCACAAAAACAATAACACATAGCCAAAACATGTTGGGAAAGGCAAACACATCTATAGGCAAATCGAGTTGTTGGCTGCCCCCCCCCCCCCGCCGGCTGCAAGCTGGGCGACGAGTGCAGAACCTCGCAGAAACACGCTGGTGCTTTCGCCGGAAGTGGAGGGGCCCTTTGCAAGATGAGAGAGAGTCTTGCAAACCCTCCTGTCAAGTTCCACGGATGTTGCAAGGGGACTTCAACAAAGGTCCATTGCATTTGTGTGAGTATAATTGTGGTCCTGGTTTATCATCTCCCCAAGAGTATCGTAAAATTATGCGTTCGCCCAAAAAATTGTTTCGATGTCACCTGGGCATGTCACTCGAGTGGCCCGGAAACCTAAAACTTGGGCCTTGGCAAGCTGAAAGCTAACCTCGGGTCAGTTTGCCCCCAAAGGCCTGGGACGATTCGCATCGGCACCCCACATTTGGCGTGAAAAGATGTTGCACTACTCATTTGCTCCTAAGCTGGCTGTGGGTCAAATATAGGGTAACCCCAAGATGGGATACTGAAAAGTGGCAATATAGACAACACCTGCGGTCCCCCGATGGTTTAAATTTGACCCTACCCAGAGGGAGCATGGACACATTCACATCCTAGGTAGCAGCCGTGCCAGCAAGCACTAGTCTAGCTTCCCAGAAGAGGAATCAACTACCAAGTGGAGAAATCCATCGGAACTTCATCATGGCTCGCCTTTTGTCAAATGCGTTTTGCTCAAGGCCCCAGATGTCGACTGCCCAAAACCGGCATCGCCGGTGGTTTGGCGAACCTCTCAGGGCGACGCTGACTGCAAAGCGGCACCGCGCAGAGCATCCTGGGACCCCGGGATGAGGCAAAGAAGCCCATAACAAATCAATATGGCTCGGGTTTTCGGGCGCCCCTCCCTCCACTTTGGGGTTTAGGAGAAAACGGCGAGCAAACCCACCTCACCAAAGTCGCGGTCGTTGGCCTTTTCTGTACTTTTGAGGACCGTTGCAGTTTACCGTTGGTTGAGGTCCTCTCACTATATGACAGCTCTGGTTTCTCCATCCCATGGTTGATTAACATAATTCTGCTTATATACTGGTCATTTGCAAACTGGTTTCGTGACCAAGTTATCATGGTACACTTGGGTTTCAACCCTACTGTAACTATTCAGAAACTGACTAGCTTGCTCCTTTGCAATGCATCGCATTGATAGCAATGCCAAGAAAACCTCAGTCGCCCGCCTCCAGCTCCGAAGATGACGTCATGGCCCGCGCCCTGTTGGCTGCCTCCTGCGCACATGGTATGGTGCTTTGTTTTTTGGATTTGCGGATCATCCCAAAACTACCTGCAACTTGTCACTAGTCAGATGGCTGTGAGTCAAAACCAATGGTACCATTTTGGGGTAGGTGCACCACCCATTTTAGTCTATTTTAGTGGGGATTGGGATGTTCACTGGGGGTACGGGCTTTCGACCCATGGCCAGATTCCTGAACCTGTACAGGTAAGAAAGAGCAACCAAGTTTGCGTGCTCTGAGCTAGTCTCTCAACAGGGGATTCCACGCTTTCCGCTTATAACACAAAAACCGCGGGTCTCAACTCCCTAAATCGAGCCACAGCCTTTGCAAGGAACCAAACGAACGATCGAACGAAAGAACGACAAACAAACAAACAAAGAAACAAACAAACAAAGAAACAAACAAACAACAAACACACAAGCAAGCAAGCAAGCAAGCAAGCAAGCAAGCAAGCAAGCAAGCAAGCAAGCAGGCAGGCAGGCAGGCAGGCAGGCAGGCAGGCAGGCAGGCAGGCAGGCAGGCAGGCAGGCAGGCAGGCACGCAGGCAGGCAGGCACGCAGGCAGGCAGGCAAGCAAGCAAGCAAGCAAGCAAAAGAAGAAGACAGCAAGGAAACAGACCAACGCACACAAAAAGCAGGCTAGGAGGCAAAACGATAAACAAGCAAGCAAGCAAGCAAGCAAGCAAGCAGGCAGGCAGGCAGGCAGGCAGGCAGGCAGGCAGGCAGGCAGGCAGGCAGGCACGCAGGCACGCAAGCAAGCAAGCAAGCAAGCAAGCAAAAGAAGAAGACAGCACAGACCAACGCAAAAAGCAAGGAGGCAAAACGATAAACAAGCAAGCAAGCAAGCAAGCAAGCAAGCAAGCAAGCAAGCAAGCAAGCAAGCAAGCAAGCAAGCAAGCAAGCAAGCAAGCAAGCAAGCAAGCAAGCAAGCAAGCAAGCAAGCAAGCAAGCAAGAAGGCAAAAAGGGTGCCCTTCATGTGTAATTTCAGCAGGCATTGCAAAAAGGCGGCAACCAAAAGGCACAGCAAGCGGCAGCCAAAAGGCCTTGTGGCCTCGCAGTCTCTGTCCTGCGCCTTGGACTCGGGAAGCTTCGACAAAGCTTCCACGTAGGTGGCAGTCAGGGCCGGCCTCTCGGATGTCAGTTCAGCGGAGTCCGCGCATAAGGGCAACGAGCCACTGAACTTCTGGGAAGCCCGCGTTTTTCGTCCAGCAGGAGGTTTTCCCGCGTCCCTTGGAGTGGAACTTCTGCTTCAAAGTGAGCACGCATTTCCCATTTCAGCTGGGCTCTTGGAGCTGACAGGCCCGAATTCCCACAGCCCTCTTGGAGAACCTCTCGAACCGAAGGCTTCCGTGGCGCAAAATTCGGGGTGTTGGGAACCGTGGTGGGAGTAGTCACCGCGATTTACTTGACAAACGCGCGTTTGAAAAGCATGTGCATCATGGGAAACATCAGGGGCTGGAGAGGGGGGTCTATGCTTCGAATCGGGCCATGCTTGGCAGTTGTGGCAAGGAAATGACATGCAACCAACCATTGAAAAACTTGGGTGCCGGTTTCAAGCAGTGGGTGTCCATCGGAAAAACTGGGCACCCTTGTTTTGTTGTTTGTTTGTTTGTTTGTTTGTTTGTTTGTTTGTTTGTTTGTTTGTTTGTTTGTTTGTTTGTTTGACTTTTTGTTTGCTTGTTGTACCACACACTTCCTGAGTGGGTCAAACAAAGCGGTAAAGATCGTGGGCCTGCTTGTTTGTTTGTTTGTTTGGTTGTTTGAATGATTGAATGATTGAATGACTGAATGATTGAATGATTGAATGAATGATTGAATGATTGAATGATTGAATGATTGCATGATTGCATGATTGAATGATTGAATGATTGAATGATTGAATGATTGAATGATTGAATGATTGAATGATTGAAAGATTGAATGATTGATTGATTGATTGATTGATTGATTGATGGATCGATCGATCGATCGATCGATCGATTGATTGATTGATTGTTTTGTTTGTTTGTTTTGTTTGCTTGTTTGTTTGTTTGTTTGTTTTTTGTTTGTGTTTGTTTGTTTGCTTGCTTGTTTGATTGTTTGGTAAACAAAAACACTTAACGAAAGGACTGGGCACCGGCCTCAAGATGAGGTGCACGTCTGGTCCAAATCCCTGGAAAAAATGAGCAGCGATTTGTTGGCTAAAGGGGGAGCAAATATCTGGGCTGCCCTCAGATTCCCCGCTAAAAGTTTGACTTTTAGTGGGCTAATGGAAACTACCACTAACACTAAAAGGCTAAAAAGCTAAGGGGATGGCTGGGAGCCACAAAGATATGTTGCCCCAAAAGACGAGGCAGCCAAAATATGAGTCTGCAGTTGCTTAATTGGCCATTCACTCCCGAAATGCTGCCAAGTATAGGGAACACGTACAAGAGACCAACTGACGTTTACTTGCAAATTGTAGGGAATCAAACGCACCATACCGGCAAAAACCCAGCTCCTCAGCAAACGCTGCTTGTTTGGACCTGGGGTTGACAACCAAGCCAAAAGTTGTCTTGACAATTGTACACATGACCCTTCAGTAAGCATGCGCAAAGGTGGACGTCAGCAGGATGCCAGTAAGAAAAGGGCGCCAGGAAGAAACCTGAATTTTCGACGCGTTTCTGGACACCTCCGTTTTGCGCAGCAAGCTCCCTCCTCTCTTACGAGTGAGGTCTTCCCGGAGCAAAAGAAGCAAACAACTTTTGGAGTTGTTCAGTGAAAAGTCTGATTGCTTCCAAAAAGTGTGATGCAGGAGCCGGAGGAGCCACACATTTGCGGCTGCTCGACTCTGACAAGGCCATCATCCTTTCTTTCAAGGGGAGGTCCTTCGGAGAGCCGGACCTGCTCTAGCCACACCTAAGATCGAACCGCGCCCCACCTGCCACGCCAGCTCAGGCTCGCGAGCGCCCACAAGAGGTTCCCAGTGTGCTGCGAGTCGAACCTGAAATTGACAGTTGTCCAAATAGAGGGCTACTCCGCTGCAACTTATCATTAAGCACGTCCCCCAAAAGGGCGATCCCTCCACAAATGATGGCTTTTCAAATTCCACGTGAGTCCAATCCGTTGTGTCAGACCGAAGTGCACAGCCCATGCCTCTTGGCACAGCCCCAGCTGCTGTTGATGATCTGTTTTGCTCTGCCTTGACGCTTCAGCGGGGCAGCCGTGTTGAGAATCAAGCAAAGGCTCGGCTCCGGAAAGTGGCGTCTGCGCTTCGTGATCGTGTTCGAAGAAGCATGCCGCAGCCAGCAGGCACGTAAGGATTTGCGCCAAGACGCCGTGAGTGAGCACCGAGCCCCAAAGCAGTTTCCGCGATTGAGGCTGCAGAGTGTGTTGCCCGGATGCCCTAGTCTTCGCATGTGCGCTTGGCATTGGACGACGCTGGTCTTCTGAAGCTGCAGGCAACTTGATTGTCGCGCACATCACGGACGAGCCAGCGCAGCTCGGCTGCGAAAACGAGCGGGAACTTTGCATCGCTGTTTGGTGCCAAAGTGCGGGGCTTTCTGGGTGAGTCTTTGGGACAGTCTGCACGTTGCGTGCTTGCCTGGAACATCTGTATAGAACGCTGCGTCTAATCACGAAGCTGGAATTGGACGAAACCGGCAACGCGTGCATTGAGCAGTGGTTAACAGCGGCTAGCGCTCGATGGCGCTACCACAGACGCTTCCAAGCGCTTCAGCGAGCTCGCGCCAGCGCCGAGCACGTGTGGAAGGAAAGCACTTGCGTCTCTGGGCTTCTGCGAGCTCACCGCGAACGCCTGTGCCAGGGCCGCCGCGAGGGTTGGGTGGGGTCGGGTTGGGTTCTGCTCCCCGGGCTTCGGCGGCTCGACGTTAGACGCCAAAAACAAAAGAACCGGTGCACATGTCATGTCGCTCCGGAGGCTCGCAGCAGTAAAGCTTGCAATGCTTTGATCGAGGCTCACAAGGAGGGTTGAGTAAATCTTCCCATGTTGGCCTCTGAGGACTCTTTGACGTCCGCTACTAAAGAATAAAGCTAATGACAAGAAGAGTCAGTCTTCACCTTCTTGCACGCCCGCTTTACACAAATGCTTGGGGTCACCCGGCGAGGGCTGCCAAACAAGGCCCCCCGCTCCGCCGCCCGAAGCGGAACGAGGATCCAGGCGGCTCCTGAGCGGAAATTCCAGGAAGCCGAACACATCCCAAGACCGCTTGAATGCTTCAAAACCACATGGGGGTTGCATATCCACAACTTCAGAGCCCGCCAAGCCAGCGATTTGAGCACACACTTATCATGGGAGGCCCTCTGGGTACGGTTGAAGGAAAAGCCTTACAAGTCACAGCCGTGTCCAACAGCGAAATCAAAACAACAGCGCATGTCAGAAGGAACCCAGAGCCAGGCACCTGGTAGGCATCGACTGTGCAAAGCCCAATCAGATCTCTGGCGGTTGTGGCAGGAACGGCATGAACTCCAAGCAACCTGCGAGCCTAGAGCCCTCCGATCTCCTTACTCCTAATGTCAGGCTCCGCCCAAACCAACTGGCGAAGGCGCCAAAACTCGGAACATCCCGACCCGACTTTGACCTAACGAACGTCCCATCCCTTGGTATGCTGTGTGTGGTATGCTAGCAGAAAGATGTTTGTTCTTGGCAGCCCGAAGAAAGAGATCAGGGCCAGATGCAACTGTGAGGACAAGATTCACAGTGCCGACGAGATTGTGAAAGCAGGATCGAACTTGCCAGGGGGCATACAAACATGTCCCACCCAAGCACCATTTTAGGAAAAAAACATATGTCGAATGAGCCATACACTCACCTTACCTCTGATTCGTGGTTTGTATTGGTGGTTTGGGGATAGATCCTCGAGGGTCCCTCCCCCCACCTCCACGCCATCCAACCCGACCATCAATTTCAGGGATAAGCTGTTACAACTACAAGACTTGATCCCTACACCAAGGAACATATCAGGATCCTCCGTCGTCGGCGCATTGCGGCATGACACGTGTATGGCGCAACCCGGGCCTGTTGAGGCCGTGCCACCTCGGCTTGGGGAGTATTTGGAGGGAACCTCGAGCGGACCCAGCAATTCCATCGCCGAAACATCGCAACGCCCTTTCAACCTGTGGACAAGTCCCCAACGCCCAAGGCAGTCCCCTTAAGCCAGCCCGTACATTCCACTCCAAACTGCCCAGAGTGGTTACAGCGGTCAACTTCTAAGGGTCGCAAATGGCCAAAACCACTCCGGAAAGCTGCTCTTTTCCTATCTGCTTCATTTGCACAAAGCTTTTCACCTCGGACAGACTGCAAAGTGACTGTGATCCTGCTTTCTAGCTCCAAAAGGAGTGGTCACACCGTGGATGGACGAAATCCATTTCTCACCACTTCGAAAGCATGGGAAACCATTGTTTGCTGGCATTTACAGGGGAACCATTCTTGCAGGGTTTCCTTGGTGGCGCAGGATTTCGTCCCTCCATATCAAAGAGCAAAGGTTCCGGCTGGGAAAGGCCATTTGATTCATCAAAGTGGGTCTGAGAATGGGCATGGCGTCCTTTGATTTGGGTTACACTGCCGGGGTTAGACACCCCCAGCCCGTTGGTTGCACAAAAACCCCTGCCGTCCCAACTCGCCGATTTACCAAAACAAACAAAAAAACAATTTGAGACGTGCGGCGGAAGACGAGCTGCGCGAGGCCCCACATGGCGTTCACCAGGTTCTGATTGCTGGAAAGCCTCGGGAAAGGTGGTGCTGTCCCTTGGATTGATGTTAGTCAATCTGAGGCAAACTGGATACACTGGGGGTGTCCATTTGGATTCCCGCACAATCCTACGAAGGTTACTCTTACACAAAACATACGGGCAAGTGGCGTTGGCTCACGGAAGGGGTGGTAGTACGATATGATAAAGCCAAACAACATTTGGAACATCGGGAAAAAACTAAGCCAGCAACCACGCACGCCTGCACACATGCACGCACGCAAGCCGCGCGCAACCACTCAACCAAGCAACCACGCAACCAACCAAGCAACCAAGCAAACAAAGCAAGCAAAGCAAGCAAGCAAGCAAGCAAGCAAGCAAGCAAGCAAGCAAGCAAGCAAGCAAGCAAGCAAGCAAGCAAGCAAGCAAGCAAGCAAGCAAGCAACCCAGCAAGCAAGCAAGCAAGCAAGCAAGCAAGCAAGCAAGCAAGCAAGCAAGCAAGCAAGCAAGCAAGCAAGCAAGCAAGCAAGCAAGCAAGCAAGCAAGCAAGCAACCCAGCAAGCAAGCAAGCAAGCAACCCAGCAAGCAACCCAGCAAGCAACCAAGCAAGCAAGCAACCAAGCAAGCAAGCAAGCAACCAAGCAAGCAACCAAGCAAGCAAGCAACCAAGCAACCCAGCAAGCAACCCAGCAAGCAACCCAGCAAGCAACCAAGCAACCAAGCAAGCAAGCAAGCAAACAAGCAAGCAAGCAAGCAAGCAAGCAAGCAACCAAGCAACCCAGCAAGCAGCCCAGCAAGCAACCAAGCAACCAAGCAAGCAAGCAAGCAAGCAAGCGAGCAAGCAAGCGAGCAAGCAAGCGAGCAAGCAAGCAAGCAAGCAACCAAGCAACCAAGCAAGCAAGCAACCAAGCAAGCTACCCAGCAAGCAACCCAGCAAGCAACCCAGCAAGCAACCCAGCAAGCAAGCAACCAAGCAACCAGGCAACAGCCAACCAGGCACCAACCAACCGACAAGGAACATCCAGATTTTGAACCGGGGAAGGACATCCATTCCAGAGATGGCCCCTAACCTGCAAAGGCGGGATGATCTCATGCAGTTGGTGTGCGGTTCGGGCCCGGCCATCCGGCCATCCGGCCATCCGGCCATCACGTAGTCTGCCAGTTCATCCAATACCACCCCGCTTTGCGCTTGCCTCCGGCGTGTAGAAACGCTCAGAGAGGGCTTCCTGGCAACCCCCCACCGGGGTTTTCGGATGGAATCCCAGGCCCGCGAGCCGTCCAGCGGGCTGGCGGTGACATGAACCACTGACATGGGCGCGGCATCTCTGACACACGGGCCAGAGAATGTGGGTGCAACTCAAAACTGGGGGGGGAAAAATGGCGCGATTTTCCACAAGGGGGGGTCAGAGGTCGGCTCCAGACCTCGGCGCCGCGCTGCAGTTGCCCCTGCGCCGCCTGCGCCAGACCTGGCGCTAAAGCGCCGCAGGCGCGGAGAAAACCGAGTGGCCTTTCCGTAAGATGATCCTTGGTCTTACAAGGAGCCCTCCTTCTTGAGTTTGATCTTGGCTCCAAATGGAAACTTCAGCCAAAGGCCTGCTTTTCCAGGGTCCTGGAAGATCAAGGTGATGTTTGAAGAAAAAGCTGGGCTGCCCTCACATCCCCCACTAAAAGTTGAACTTTAGTGGGTTAAATGGAAACTACCACTAAACACTAAAAGGCCAAAAAGCTAAGGGCCCCACCAAGTGAAAAGGGGCATGCTGAAACCCTGACCGAATTCAGCGCAGCGCGTATCGGCTGTGGGCTTCCTGTATGGCCGCGCCATAAAGGGGATGGTTTCGTGTGAGGTCCGATTACCCAGGTTTGAATGGGTTTGATACAACAGCCACCGCCCTAAGCTTTGGTGAGACAAAACGCCTTCGTGGGAGTTTGCCGAGCTGGCCATAATAAAATGGGTGGTGCCCCTACCCCAAAATGGTACCATTGGCTTTGACCCACAGCCAGCTTTGCTCATGGCTCACAGCTGGACATCGGCATTGACCTTTTCGAAGCTCGGGATACGGGATGGGGCACACAGTAAGGTCGGTCCGCGCCCTTTTGAATGGGTCCACTCGAACCCAAGGACCCCATGTTTTCTTGGTCCGATGGATCCTCATGTTGTTTGGTGAGGCAAACGACTTAGTCTGGGCGCAAACCGACTTACTAGTTTACAATCAAAGCCCCAAGTGTTAACCCTGGGATTCTGCATCGCTCCGAAAACAATTTGTGTTCTGCTGAGCGGACCGAAAACCGCTCGAAGTTGGCGAGTCAAGAATGAAGTGACGCGCCCAAGGCTCTTCCGGTGGGAAGCCAGCCGGGTAATGGTACCAGGGGAGGTGTTCAAAAGCTTGTCTCGGATATTTGCATTGCACCCTGGGGGGCAAACTCGGATTCGTACACAAAAAACTCATGCTTTGTTTTTGGAATAGAGATTCCGGTTTGGCGGGCGTAATCGCAGTGTAAGACACGAACCCATCCTTTGGTATAGCAGCAAACAGTTGCGTCTTACATCCCGGCACGTGAAATGGGTGTGGCTCAAAATTAAAAAGCTGGGGTGACGCAGGTCTTGGTCGTTGTTTCCATCCAAGGACCTCAAAAGTTGGTACCACTTTTTCGAGCCACTGCCAAATGGCCGCAAACCTTGAGGCGGAAAAAAAAGGGATACCGCCCCAGCCACGCCTTCCAAGCAGCTCTGTCCCACCCCGGCGTGGGCGGCTTAGCCGGGCCTGCCAAAGGCCCACACCTCCAGCGGTCCATTTTCTTGGTCCGAAATCGGAAGGGCATGCGACGAAACCCAAGAAAAAGCCCGACAAGGAAACCACCAGTGAAATGTTTTTTTTGGGGTCAGGCGCAATTTCTCACCTACTGCACTGCACAAGTTTTGGGGGGAACAACCCCGGGTTTTGACTTTCATCACCAGAAACTGTCAATGACCCCAGTGAGAACAGGAAATGCACTTTCCCCAAGAAATGTGTGTACTCCTTGGAAAAAGTATGGCGGCTATCATGGTTCCACAAACATGGTAAAGATCTTGTTCATGGGCTTTATAGAGTCCATGAAACCACGTAGTTTCATCCAAAACCACGTAGTTTCATCGAACATGGGCAACAGGAATCGGGACGGTCTCAGAACCATTTATAGAGCCCAACCGCACAACGAATACTTGCTTCTCTCAGCTGCGTGCCACGCCGAGGGGTGAGCAGAAATTGAGTCTGGGGAACTCTGAATGGCTATGGCTTTTCAAAGCCGGGCGGGCTTTGAAGCCGCACATTTCCCTTCAAAAGGTTGGAAGTCCGATGCGGTGAAATCGAGTGAAGCCGTGTTTCATGGAAATTCGGGGTGAGTAATCAACCCATGAAACGTAGCAAAGGCTGCCAGATGGAGAATGACTAGCGGAAGGATCCCAAAAGCCGAGTCGTGGGGCAAACGTTGTGCCAAGCACCATGGAAAAGGGGTAGCCCCAAGGGTCCTAGCAAGTCAACAACAAGGAGCATCCCAGTTGGCCCAAAGGTGAAACAAATACAAATTTGCACCTCATGGCATTGTATTATTCATCGAGGAAGTGATATCGGCAGCCCCCCCCCCCTTCCTTGTTTCCAGCCAGCGGGATGCAAACCACCAAGCGAGTCCCCAAACTTGGCCTCCGGGTTGCAACATACAAGACTCTCGGATGCTTGCTCCACATTCACAAGACTTGCGAGGACTAAGTCCTACTAAACAAACTTGAAAGGATGAGCCAAACCCACCTTCTGTGCAACTCCCTTCCCCGTTGCGGAAAAAGAACAGCCGCACAACATGTCAGACCGTCCCAACGCACGCTCCCGACGCCTGGTTGGCTGTGCCTTGGGGGTCAAACTCGTGGCACAGTTCAGCGCCTCGCAAAGGAAGCAAGCGGTCCAAAGACCAAACTTCGGCAAGGCGGACACGGGGTTTTGTAGGGGAAACAGACGACTCCGTTGGCCAGGAGCAACCGGGTGACAAAGGGGGGCAAAACCCAGGGATCGTTGCAGCTCCTTGATTCATAAGTTGGAATCCTCGCATTGGCGGATCAAATGTGAATTCACTCGGATGGCCTGAGTAGGAGGTCGAGGTCAAAGTCGGATCTTCTTAATTCAGCTCGTGCTGCTGCAAAGCAGCTTATCTTAAGGCGTTCCCTCCAAAAGTCCGGATCAGATCCCCTCTGGACAACAGAACCGCCGGTGGACGTCTTGTGGACGCGTAAAGGATCTAAGACTCTAAGGTGGCAACCAGTGACATGCTGAAAATCTTGCGCTTCTCCAGAGGCAGATGTCGGTGATCTCTTGAGTGCCATTGGCCCAAGGCAATTCAAACCAATCCTTCGGTGAGCTGACCAACCCTGACCAGCAGGGATCCTTGCATTATACACCTTAACATTGCCTTGTAAATTGTGGTGTCCCTTTAATTTGGTGAAAAAAAACATGTTTCAAAGTTCGAATTTCTTTTAAGGAGCCCTGACCAAGGAAAGCCAATGCCTCGCCCAAGAAACGCTGCTGATGCTAGTGATCATCTTGGCTGCTTGCCGCTAACGACACTAGACTCTGGTGCAGATTTGCTTAAGCCCCCAAAAAGCCAAACATACTGATGGGCGAGATCTTGCACCACCTCAGAAACCCTGATTTTTTTTTATGATTCCCCTGTACATACCAACCAACTTTTTTTCAACCATGGTTTCAAAGTGGCGCGAAATGGATTTTGTCCATCCGCAGTATGATGGCATTGGTCAACGGCTCCACAAACATAGGTGGCCTTGTGGAAAAATAGATGGCCCTGGTAAAAGGAATAAACCCCATCTAAGCCATCCATTTTTAAGCAAACTCGCCTAAAACGGACACCTATGCTCACAAACCCGTCGCTTCGGCGTCGTAGCCGCCGGCTGGAACGTGAGACGACGCCGCGCGCCTCGCTCCGCCATGGCCCGGGCGGCCGGCTCCCATCTGCCACCGGGAGAAGAATCGGGCACCCCGTACGGCGCAGTGGCTACACCGGTTTTCCCTTGGGGGTGTATAGAAAATATGGCCGCGGGTCAAAACCCACAAAACCCCGGGTGAACATCAAAATGGGTGGTACATGGGTGTTCATCCGCCCCACAATGGAGGCATAGGTTATGACCCATGGCCATATAGAAACCCTAGAGAATGATGGATCTGAGAAACCATAAAGGGGAACCTAGCTTGTCTGCCAATGCAAGTCCGAACTCTAGCTCACCGAAAGCCAAAAAAAAACGAGAGGAGACGAGGTGTCCAAACAAAAGCGGGCAAGCAAGACCTTTGTGAGAAAACGCCAGGAGCGGGGATACCCCAAACTCAAAGCTTGCATGGTGACTTTCTCCGATCCCTTTTGACACAACCACGGGAACGGTGATATTATGACCAGGTTGGATCCCCAAAAAAAAGCCTGCCGCTCGCACGCTATGGGCACTTCGCTTTCATGACCCGCCGAGTCCGGTCAAGTCAAACCCTCAAGGCTTGGGGACGACCCTGACGCAGCGAAAATAAGATTGTTGTGGTGCATCTTGCTTGCGCAGCGAGAACCTCTAAGCGCAATATTTACGAGCCCTTCTGATTTCCTGGATCCAAGGGAGTCAAAAGCAGTGGGAATTGCCATGACTCCTGGGTTTATATAACGCAACACCCTCTGGATGTTTTCAAGATGCTAGGGACCCAACCACCCAACCCCAACAAATAATCTTCGCTTTGCACCCAGTCCTTATGGCCACCGACCGACCTCCGAACCGCGGGGCTCCTGCTCTCCCGAAGGCTGCCAGGCCTGACGGGAAACGTCTCGTATGGATCTCGAGATCTACCTCACGCTTCGGGGACTCCCGGACTTGGTGCAAACGGGATGCAAAAAAACGAAATGCAGCTCCGCGAAACCAGCCACTCCCATTCCGAAATGCCCAGCCCAGCTGTTCTCAGGACTTGTCGGAGCTGTTAAGTTCAAGGGGACCACGTGGCGGGTGTAAATATTGTTGTTTTGTTTTTGTTATTATTATTTTATTAAAAGAAGAAGAAAAAAATGGGAAAAAACAACATGGGCGGGGTCCTTTTGCAACACCTTGTGACGTTTTCAGATCCCGCCTCCATCCGAGGTTGGCCAGGTGCTGTGGTCGAAAGGCCTCGGAACAAGCGCCTTAAGCGCAGCTCTCGTTTCGGCGCCAGGTGACCCCCTAGTCGAATTTCCAGCCGGTGTCCGCTGGTTCAATGCTCAGAGCTCGAAACGGGCGGACTTTGCTTTGGCTGTCGCAATTCCATTCCGGAACCAGGTACATTCCGGACACATCGAGGCGCTTTCGCCGCCACTCCCTAATTAGCTGCTGATTCGTCGGCTGGTGCTTTGATCAAGGCCTCGTTCAAACAGCCTCACATGCAAAAACCGTCATCTCCGAGAGAAGAACCAGAAGAACACCCAACTTAAGCTGAGAAACATACGCGTGTCTTTTTGCGGGGTACCCTTTCTTGAATGGTTTCAAAGGGACACCAAAAGGAAAAAAAACGAAAAAAGACACACCCATACCGCAAGCCAAAAAAACGTCCCGCTCTCTCGGTGTGACTCGGCGAATTTTGTGGCTCGGTGCCCGGCCCCCATCTGGCGAATCGCCTCTGCGGCAGCCGCCGCCATCAGCGGCCGGTCAAAGGCCTGAAGCAGATCCCAGCGGATGGGGCGCCTAGGTACAGATCTGCAACCTGAAGCCTACCTCCCAACCTCTTTCCACTGATTTTGGCATAAATTGGTTTAGACTACTTGCCAACTGTCGTCTGATCTTCTCAAAATGTGGATGGACGAAATCCTGCACTTTGAAACCAACGGCAACCCCATGGTTTGCTGGTTTTACAGGGGAATCGAATCACTGAACGGTGGTGCCGAAATGAGGAAATCGCCACCATCCACAGGGCTCTGAAATCCATGGCGCCCAGGGCAGAATGTGAAGCCAAGGGAACCATTGGTTTGCATCGCAAGCCTTTCGCCCCGAGCTCGCTGGTGTTCGAGTACCGACCCTCGCCTCCAGGGTGGCAGGTGCTCGCGCTGCGTTGCTCGAGTTCTGGGGGTCCAAGGTGTCCATGACCTGGCAACCGCTTTCCGGGCGGCCTCAGAAATCCTTCACCACGTGGTACATCTCTACTCACATAAATAGTGGGTATATACAGGGTATATTCTTTTTTTTTGTTTACGTGTATATATATATATATATGTGCGTCTGTCAGGGCATCTACTCCATGTGGCAAGTAGTTCCCAAACATCGCAGGTTAAAATCCATCAGTGACCCTACAACTGCCACACTTGGCCCTCTCAGCCTTTCAAGCGGATCACATAAACCCACATCAAGTATCACCTCCCAAACTTTCCCCCCTCAACCTGCCTTTCCGAAAAACAGCCGCTTGGCCCCTGCGACCAAAACACGGCCTGTTCCGCGCGGCGGGCAGCTGCTCGGAGCGAAGGCCGGCTCGAGAGGGCGGTCCTAAGGCGTCGAATCCAGCTCGCCGTTGCAGGATTTGGTGGCTGAAAATGCGACAGCTGGGGCACACCGCCGGTTTTATTCTTTGTCTCCCATATACTAAGGTGACATGTTGGGTGCCATTCTTTGAGCCACGGCCATTTTAAGGAAACCCAAGGTCTCAGGGAGCCACGGAAGCCCATTTGCTTAAAGCTGGGTCAAGCGAGCCATGTGGTTCAGCTGGCGCCCCACAAAGGTGGGCAGGCGGCATGCAAATCCGTGTTCCAAAGTTCGTACCTGAAACTTGAGTCAACCTTGTCACTCCTCCTGTCCCCGGAAACCGAAACTTCTCTGTTCCCCAAAATCTCAAACTCCCAGAGGCAAGCCCACGCCAAATGTCCCCAGCCCGTCCCTCCTGGCAAGCCATCGCGCAAGGTTCGCCGGGCCCTGGGACTGAAACTCGCCTCGCGCGGAGCAAAAAAAAGGTGGCAGCGGTGATTGGGAAAAAATCGCGCCCACCACAAAATACCGAACTAGTTCGACCAACCCATGTGGGAAATGAGGGTTTGGATTGAAGCTTTCTGCCATACCCTACTCCCTTTGAGGATGTCATGAGTGATACTTTGTTCAGCATACTTTTCTGGCGGGTGCTCAGTGGGGAAGGACGCAGGGTGTTGGGAATGAAATGAGGCGTAAGGGAAACCACACAGGATGGTTTAGCTCGGGGTCATTCCAGTTCTCATCCCCTTCCTATCGCACGTATCGCAAGTTCTGGGTAGGGTTGATAAAAGGAAACCCGAGAAACCAAACACCTGGGTCCCGTTTGAGAAACGGAGGCGAGCTGCCGGAGTGGGAGAATTGGGATCCAGGCGCCTACGAAAACCTGATCGCCCAAAACGCAAGCCAAGATTGACTGGGTCAAACAGGTGGCAAAACGCGTGCAGGGTCAAGAATAGGTACCCCAAATGCAATCCGGGTAAATGGAAACAAGGACTCGTTTTTTGGTGGTTAGTTTTGACCCGTAGCCACATGCCACAGGCCAGCCACAGGCTAGCCTCACCATAGCCCTTAGGTCCGTCTGTGCCGTCAGACTCCGCAGACTCCGTGCTCAGGACACGGCTGATCTTCTGAATTGCGTGGTCAGCGATGGCCGCGAAGACCTACCAAGTGATGTTCTGGTCACAGATCTTTGGGCTTACAGTAACCTAGGTCCTCTAGTAGAGAGAGTAGAATAAGGCTACCCTTTTTTTCTGTCGTCTGTTTAGTAGGGGAACCCTCCCCCAAAAAAGGGCAAAAGACGTCGGTTGCTTTCTGCTCCCCTGCTAAAGGCTCTTCAACTTTTATTGGCATTAACACGGAAAACCCCATGAGTTGGCAAAAGTCAAAAGTCCTAACATCCCAGCAACATGCACCAAAGCAACCCTTCATGGCTGTCGAAGTCCACTGGCGAGCTTGCCTAGACGACACGCGTCGTGGCTTCGGCTCCACATCACTGGCAACACATCGTGGCTTGACGTCGAGCGTACACACATTGTCTTTCCGGCTTGCCAAGCGTCGCGACCTGTGGAAAGCACCTTTGATTCCAGGTAAACCCAGGGCCGGCCGGGGGTTTATGTGTCTCTGGTGACAATGGAATCTTTCCACAGACTTATGGCTTGATGGGAACAAAAAGAGCTGCGGAGTCAAAAACCGCGGGTTTCACCGCGGTTTTGAGCCATGTACTTCCGAGGCACCCGGCCGAACTTGGATCCCTGAAACTTTGCGACACTCCAGGCAAATGAACTCACGGATTCTCTGTTTCGCGGAAGCTTCGTGGCCTTTTCCCTGCCTTGGTCTTCCCTTTGGGACCGCGATAAACCAGGGTCCTTCTTGATTTTGATCTCCAAAATTCGGCCAAAGGCTGCATCACGAAATGGCTCACCATTTTTGTAGGTAAGGATTTGAATGGTAGCAGCCTCCAATTGCTTTTCCAGGATGGAAGATCAAGGACTGGCGCCTTTTAACGGGGGCGCGGCCCCGGAAGTTTTGCCGCAGCGCCTGCCGGTCGCACAGCTTGGCGGCCGCCTCGGGTTTTTTCTTCTCGCGGGGTGAAAGAACTCAGGCCGCACGGTTGTGTTTGCGTGTACGAATCGCGAGTCAAGGGTTTCACACCATGGGTAGGAGAAAAGCATCCCTTGATCTCCAGGACCCTGGGAAAGCAGGGCTAGGGCCGAATATCCATTTGGAGCCAAGATCAAAATCAAGAAGGACCCTGGTTTTGCGGGTCCTTGGAAGACCAAGGCATCGCTTGTGCTTCTTTATCTTGTGCAAACGAAAAGGGACACCTGTCGGCCCCGAGGTGCACCGATCGGCCGCACAAACCTGCGGACCTTGGGACCGCGGCCCGCGTTCGCGCCGCATTTGCCAGGTTCTGCGCCGAAGGATCCTCCGTGAGGCGGCCTCGTGGATTGGTCCCGCAAGCTGTGCGACAGGTAATGACCCCGCAGTTTTGCGGTCGACCGCGTGTTCAAATGATGGAAACTCCTGGCCTTCCAACCACAAAAAGGGGAACTTACAGTCTGGTCGTCTGGTATAGTATTAAAATGGTCTACCCAGAACCACGTAAGGAATCGAAAGGCGGCTGCACCCATTTATCCGTGTTAACCTTCATCTACCGAATTTTCAATGTGGCTCATATGGCATTCCGGGACTCAGCTTTTTCCGAGTTTCTAAACCTCTTTCTTGCAGGCTCTTGCTGACATTGTGCCAAACTCTGAAGAGCAATCGGGGGTTTTCCCAGTCCTCCAAACGCACAAGGCTGGAAAGTGAAAACAGACATGGAATTCCATGGCTTAACCCCTTCCACCACTCGGTGTGGTGGGGTGGGATCCAGCCGCCACTCATCAGAAACCCTCAAGACTCATCCATTTCTAGGAACAGAAGTGCTTTGGGTGTGGCCCTTGAGCACTTTCCCACTGTATGCGGGGGATTTCTAGGGTTGCCCTGAAAGGGAAGGAATACCCATGGAAAAGGGAAGCCGCTAGGTTGACAAATTCATGAAGAATTTGAACCACCCATCGTAAATTGGGCTCCGGAATCACCTTTTGGGGGGGAACAGACTCGTCCAAGAACCACTCTTCCGGAGTCGAAGATGCGCTCTTCTCAAAGAACCGCAGCCCTGAAGCCTTCGATCGATCACCTTCGCTGAACATGGGTCGAAGAGGTCGCCCGCTCAGCTTGGTCCTTTCGGTGATGTTGGTCGTTACAAATTCTGGCCATAGGTTCATCCCGGTCAAGCAAGCTGCTTCTCAAAATTACACATGCTTCCAGGACGGGTCTAGAGCGACCAAAGAACTAGGACCAAAACGAGTATAGAACAGACGCAGGACCGACACCATCTGGGGCCGATTCCGAAAACTAGGACCGAAACGAGTCGAAAACTAGGACCGAAACGAAGCCGGCCCGGTTGAAAGCCCCCAACCCACAAATTGCTTCCCGAGCGTAGAAGCCCTCTCTCTCTCTCGCTCTTTCTCTCTCTCTCTTCAAGGCGGACTTTATATCTTTGGCGTGTCAACAACACCTTGGCGTCCAAGGACAAATTGGATCCTAAATGAGTACTCTGAACAAAATGGTTGAAACCACTTTGATTCCATCCATTTCCAACCAAACCTCACATCACACCATGCCAACATCAACATGCGCAAAAGATGAAGGAAGCACGGGACCCAAAAACACATCGTCCTTTCGAGATCAAGTCATGTACACCTCCACATATACAACGGGCATCCAAAAAGGCCTACAGTCTTCTTTACATGCTATAGAAACCATACCATACCCATGCAAAACCCATACCAGAATTTGCCCCTACTTCCTGGTGCTCAGTAGGGAATGAGGGAATGAACCGCTTTGAGATTCCCGTATAGGACACCTATAGTGATTACGGTCATTCCATTTCTCATTCCGTGACTGTCGCACCAGCAAGCCTAGCCTTCATTTGCTGAAGTCCCCTGGAGGAAAAAAATATGTCCGGTAGTGATAGATTCACTTTAAAACCAACAGGGTAAACACACACCAAAAAAAACTTAACCAGAGGGACGCTAATCCGTTTCTGTTTGCATCACATCCCCATTCGCCTGCGAGGGCTTCGTAGACCTTCGCGGACGCCGACTGCGCAGTCCCGAAGCTCCGCGCAGCGTTAGCAATGCCCTGGGGGCATAGCTCCTCCACCCGGCCTCGGGGGGCGACTTGATGGGACTTGAGCGCCAGAAGCGATGAACCCGCGCGAAAAGGCCCGTGGCTACGTCCGGATGCTTTTTTTGCATTCAAAAACACGCGTCCCACAAAGTCCCAGTCCCTGTAGGTTTAAACTCTACTGTTGTGGAGTCTGGACCTCTCAATAACAGGTTTCTGACTCAGTTGGCCCCTCCGAAGAAGTTGTATAGCAAGTCTTGCCTACGCGTCAGCATTGATTGATCTCCTGGGGTCCTTCTTTAAACCCAAATACTTTGCAACAGATCTGTCCCTGAAGGTTTCCCCTTCATTTCAACCTGGCAAGGGCGGGGCGTGTTAGGTTCCAAACAAAGGTCTCACCTTTTTCAGCTTGGAAAGGAATTCCAACAAAAGGCCCAACGAATCAAAGCCCTACCGCCAAAGGGGTTGGCAGCGTCTCAAGCCACGTGCTCTCTAGGTGGACATGGAAGGACAGGAAGCCTCCTCGACTGGGTCGATCACCCGCTTCAGATGGCAACATATACCGCCTTTTCATGTTCATCTGGCTGGTCAAAACCAATGGTCCCAATGCAGTTTGGGGTAGGCGAATTCATCACCCATTTTAGAATCTATGTTCGTGGGGATTGGGATGTTCACTGGGGGTACGAGCTTTTGACCCATGCTCATCTAGGTGTGGTTCAAAACTTTAGAGCCAGGGGGATCGCAGGTTTTAGTCTACTCCATTTGCCAGGGTTCCCTTTTGGGCAGCTTTGTATCAGCCACACCCGTCTTGCAGAATGACAGATCCGCCAAGTGATCGTAGTGAAAACTGCATGAAGATCAGCAAGTCGGCTCCCAGGCCAGTAAAGTCGAGACTCGAAAGCCACACGCAAGTCCCAAACATGTGCCGCCAAAATACCGAGCTTCCAGTGACGTGACCGAAAATGGTTGGCCCCCTTTTAAAGGGTGTCCAACAAATAGTAAAGGGCGTTGCACCGACCCTATGTTGATTCCTAACTTCGGGAGTAGCCCAGAGTCCAAAATGCATGCCACTAAATCGAACTTCCCAAAGACAGAAGAAGCCCAGAAACTGGGTGTCCCTTTCAACATGGAACCGCAGATCTTTTCAGTGAGCACAAACTCCTTTCGGGAACCCATTGTTCGGGCTACATATTGAGTTGCAGCGATTGGCTTGGGGGCCGACTCACATTCTCTCAGGCTTCCATTTGGTTGCCAGCTATCTCAACAGCCCCAAGCCCTCAAAGTGCAAAGAATCAACGAAGACTTTGGGTCCAAGGGCTGGGTCAAAAACAGGTAACTACCCCAAATGGTGCCCTGGTGAATCGAACCAGGGACTAAAACCAGCTACTTCCCCTGCTTTCCTTTTTTCCCGCCCAAATGGGTGTGGCTCAAAATTGAACAGCTGGGGCTACGCAGGTTTGAGTCTTTTCCATGTACCGAGGTGCCATTTTGGCACCTGTTTTTGAGCCACTGCCAAATCCCTTTGGATCGCTCCCCGCCTGTCACCTCCTCGCCCAAAGCCTCGGACAGTGCGGCGCCGCGCGCCGCCAAGCGGCCGGAGGCCTGAGCCGTTTGGCTTTCGCAGCCGGAGGTGAAAATCAGGTTGCCTCCATAAGGGTATGGGTCAAAATTTAAACCACCAGGGGACCGCAGGTTTTGGTCCAGGTTTTGGCAAACAAAGGCCATGCGTGGCCTTTGGGAAAAACGTGTTCAGACCCGAAGGCCCAAAAATGGCGGACAAGGTGAAAGCAAGCATAGAACAAAGTCATCGGCCTTCAGGTAGACTCTTTGATCAACAAAAAAGGAGACCCCGACCGTTCCCGGACGTGAGGAAACAAACAAACTTTAGGTGTCACCGTTCTTTGACAATACCCTTTTCAGCGTTTTCAAGGGAAGCCGAAGCGGCAATCACCCATCTCAGGGCGCTCTCACACCACTTGCCTTCAAGTTGCCACCACTTTGAGTTGGTAAACCCAGGACAAGCTATCTCACATGGGTGTGTCGCAAAATTGGGCAAGCCTCAAGGTGTCTCTTTCAAGCACCCAAAAAACAGCCAATGGCAACAACTTCAGAGAAAATGAGAAAACACACACCCTATGGTTGGATTTGGACGGCGAGGGATGCGCCTGGGCAATGTTGGTAGGTCCTTGGGAGGTCTGCGAGCTCAAACCTCGGCCAGATGGCGAACGAATTTGGGATCCCTGGTGGATTTTGGGGGGCGATTTGCTGCTGCCATTCTTACAAAAGGATACAAGGGTTACCCTCGCTCTACCAACGAAACTTGTTGAGCCACCACTGAGCAAAAAAATCCTGTGCCACTCTTGGAGCTCCGCAGAAAACCATCCGTTTGGTTGCCTCTGACTCACGGCAAAAAGTCGCATGCGGAACATCCAAGGGTCCAAGAAGCCTTGAACCGGTTCAGCAGGGGAGCTTGCAGGATTTCAATGCAAGGGCTTCATGCCAGTCAAGGAGATTTGAGCTTGCGCTAAAAGTCCAAGAGCGGCGGGGAGCCTTTTACGTGTCCTGCGTTCGGAGAGACGAGCCCCCTGCACTTCCATTGGACGTCGTCGCGACCCTCCGGGTTCGCCGAGTGGCGCTGCTACAGGCCCACGCTTCTGTCAAGCTCTGCAAGTGAGCCATGAGCTAGCATCAAAGCTTCTTGTGTGCTGTGTTGTGTGTTCATTCGACGTTAAAAACTCACATCTTCTTGGTTGCGTTGTCGCAAGTGTCTAAGCCTTTCGAATCTCCGCCCAATACACTATTTGCTTTCAAGCCCCTAGCATGATATCTAGGAGCTATTGCTGCTCTGGTGCGGCTTTCGGCATCTAAGAGCACCCAACCTAGTTGCGAACGTCTGCTTTGGCCAGTCTAGAAGCCGTCCCTTTCCACACCACTTTCCCTGCATGCACAGCAAATCATGCCATGGGAAGCAGATTCCTTTTCGTCTTCGCTGGAAAATGAGTTGGAGGACGACGAACTTGCGCTTAGCCGCAGGCATTGCTCCTTCAGCTTCCCAAACCCCTTGTTGCTGCCATCCGGGAGCACATGCGCTTGCTGTCGCCTTATGAGGAGAGTTTCATCGCGCAAGCCTAGAGGCTTGACCTGACAGTTTCAGCGTTGTCGCCAGACAGGCCCAACAAAACTCAGAGACACCATTGAAACCCTGAAAATAAAACCCAAGACGCCAACCCCGAAGACACCCCCAAGGACACGCCCAAAGTCGTTCCCAAAGACATCGCGCAAAACAACCGCAAAATTATCCGAAGACAGCCCACCCTTAAAGACATCCCGCCCTTCAAGTCATTTGAGCCTGTTGCGCGCCGAAGCAAAAAGTGACCCAAAACGTTACGCCTGCCACCAATTCCAGCTTCGACTCGTTTTGTACGACACGTATTCCAAATTGGCACGGGACTGCTGCGTTAAGCTTGCCGAAACGAGCCGATGGCACGCCAGTGCCGCCAAAAATATAAAGCTTGTCCGCGCCTGCCAAGCCAACCACCTCAACACAATCACCTCTGAACTCCGAATTCTGAAATGGCACGGCACCGCAAACTCGACAGCTTCCGAAACACTGCGCGGCAAAACACATTTGGCAAGTTAAAAAAAAAATGAGGTTCTGAGCCTTCCCCAACGGGAAGACCTCATCGCTTGCAGACCCCCGCACACAAACGGGAACGCGATTCGCAGATCGGGAGAGCAATGGGATTTTCCAAGGATTGAATTCCCCTTTGGTGAGGAATCATTCTTTTTTGTGACGTAATCCCATAGGAAGCTATCCTGATCCCATAGGACTCTATCCTGGGAGTTCTACTAGGATTTGAAGGCCCTTCGAATCGCTGAGGTTTGCCTAAAGGAGGCCTGGAGATGCTAACAGGGAAGGCCTCAACAGGGCTCAAACCGGGTCTGTCATAGGACACATATGCCCTGTGGCTTCCTTGCAGAACGCCCCCGCCCCCCCCAAAAAAAACTCCTTGCAACCCCCCACCCCCCCAAGAAAAAAAGAACTTGCACCCCCCCAAACATGGTACCCAAGCCTTCCCCGCCCCAGAGCCTTTGAAGGCTTTCCGCGCCGGCGCTGCCACCAAAGGCTCACCCCGAAGCTGCACCTGCGAGCTGCGAGCTCACCTGTTCAATCGGTTTGATGGAAAAGAGCGGAGTCAAGTGTGAGATTTCAGGGTCTGGGTCTGCAAAATAAGGAAGAACATGGTGTTCTGGGCACTGAATAGGACACCCAGAGGGCTGGAAAGTTCAGAAACCATCCATCCCCGTGCTATCTTTTCTATTTGTTGTGGGTGCAATTTGGCTCCCGGGGCTCGGTTGAAGCATCAGAATCCCAAAATGACCCTTCACGGTCTTCTCTGGAGCTTGCGTCCTTCTTCTTGTCTTTTTCCCCTGGATGTGAAGGACACGAGTAATTCATGCGCCCCATGCCAGATCCCTAGGTCCAAATCCCATCCGAGCAAATCCCCAAATCCTGGCTTCTGGGATGCATGGATTTCAGGTAGGATTTCAGGCAGAAATCTGTGACCATCGGACAGCCCCTTCATCCCTGCGGCCCTTCAAATTCCTTTCGTGCGGAGGCCTGCTCAGGAGATCTGGGCTTCTTACCACCGCAAAGGGTGGAGAATAAGAGCACACCACAGCCTTGCTTCAGTCCTGTGTACCTTCCCACCTTGATTTTGACACCCATCAAGCCCCCAAACCCATCCAAACCACCAATGACAGTTGAGTGAAAGTAGGTCCACAATGCCCCCCACTTTGTTTCAGTCATCCCCTCCCCTTTACCCACATAAAGGGAATTGCGCGACTGAGTTGACTCATATACCCCCAGTGAGTCCAGTTCCCACTACTGCTGACCCCATATTAAGCAACCCCAGTTTATTAATAGGGGGTCGGGTTAATAGGGGGTCGGGGGCCCTCCAAGAGTGGTTTGATTGCCCACTAAACCCTGGTGTAACGGCCAGGTCCTGCCACGAAAAAGCCCACGCCCCCGACATCGCTTTGCCTGCGCTGACGCCCGCGAGATGTTGGCCGAGGCCTCGAGCGGACCCAAAAGAGCCCTCTCTCTCGGCTCAGAAGTGGCGATCAATGCTGGGATCAAACAGAATGCTACATGGCCATGGGCCAAAACCCAAATCGGTTGGCCCCCAGTGAACATCCCAATCACTGAAATAGGTTCTAAAATGCGTGGTGAATTCACCTAGCCCAAAATGGTACCATTGGTTTTGACCCACAGCCACATGGAAAAGAGAGAGCAAACAGGGGTTGTAGCTATGGCCATTCAGGTTCTACATGATCACACAGCATATGAAGCCTGGTAGAAAACAAACCACCTACTAAACTGGCCCAACTTGCTTGGGAGTGGGCGTCACGACACCTTTGTCAGGTGGCCATTTGGCCGATCCAACCGGCGTTGAATTTGGAAGTGTTGCAAGAAGCTGAATCCTCAGCATTTCACAGCATATCATAGCATATCCAGGGTGCAAGCGAGCTCGGAACAGGCCATGCAAACTTATTTTGAGACGTGGCGCCCATTTTAGTTCGAATGCCGCGCTGACTAAAACACAACCAGTCACTTGCCCAAAAAAGAACGGGACAATGCCGACATCGCCAAGTGGAGCTCAGGCAGGGGTCCGGAAGCATGAAAAGAAAAACGCGTGCCCTGACTTGACATGTGGAACCGACCGCCCGCTCATTGCATTTTGCCAATGCTCACAGAGACAAGACACACCTATCACACGCGAAAGCCCCTGCGGCCATCAGCTGAGCGAACACGCATTTGGAGCTCAGCATTCTTCCTCGAGCGAAAGGGAATTTCTTGAACATGGACCAAGTGTCATGTGACTGTGTCAAAACCAATGGTACCATTTTGGGGTAGGTGAATTCGCCTCCCATTTTAGTCTATTTTAGTGGGAATTGGGATGTCCACTGGGGGTATGGGATTTTGACCCATGGCCATGTATCCACCCAAGGGGAAACATCAGGAACCCTGACAAACGGCACTCAGGTCGAGAGGGCAGGACCTGGCCGGAAGCGCGCCTGTGGGTCGCGGTCGTCCAAACGGGGCGCAAGCTGCTGGCACGCGGATTCCAACCTGAGCCCAGGATTCAAACGGCACGTCGGCATGCCCAATCCTGAGACATCCTGAGCACGTGGCCTCTGCACATTGCAAGCTATGAAAACAACAACTTGCCCAGCCTGCCGAGTCAGGATCGGTGATGCAGTTGGCATGCCGTGGCGTCATCGGACACAACAAAGTGGCATGGCTCATCCTGGGTTTTACACGATCTTCAATGTGCACGCCTGTCGTGCGGGGGAAGCTCCCCATGAAAACCTTTGGCTACAACTGCCCAAACCGTGCATTGAGTGCCGCTGGGGGACAAACGCTCACTACCCAGGAAGGCTGATCACTGAGACGGTGACCCGGCAAAGTACTAATACACAACCATGGCCATTGTTGAGATCATGACCCTTGACTCGATGGAAGATCTGAGGGATTCCTGGCATCCCAATGCAGTTGAGGTTTCAGGCCTGAGATGCCGTGCCCGGGAAAATTCACCGCGGGATCCAAACGCTGGGCCGACCAGAAATCTGGAAACACACGGCTGCCTCCCACTCCAATGCACGTGGGACAACATGAAAACGCCATTTGCCGGCAAAACTCGGTCAATCCCTGCTTCAAAATTCGGCAGCTCCTGGGGCCAAAGTACAGGAATCCCGGTTCACCTGTTCTCACGTCCACACTTTGGGGCATGTGGGCAGACCCCCGCCATTTGCCTTAGTCCTTTGTAGCGATGGCTGATGGCCCAAAGCGCCAGCCTCCTGCCCGAGTCAACCCAAGAGAAAACGAAACCAACGGTCCAAAGCACCTGCGAGCCTTTCAGAAAGACAGGCTGCGCCCCGAGAACCTCGGGTGCCCGACAGCTTCCGGTGGGCACCTGGAGACCCCGCAGCAAAAGGAGACCCCCAGCCAAATGCCTATGCACTGTTTCTTGGTTCGTGCGACCCACTTGACAAAATGTTCCGCTGCGAAACAGGGGAGAAAACGTGTTGAGCGGAGCCGCAAAATCTCGAACCGCAATGAAACAACATCAACAAACCAATGACCAGTTCAAAACGCAGCTCGAAATGATGCTACACATCCAAAACACGTAAAATGACGCAGAACCAACGTCATCAAAAAAAACTCCCCATGCGTATGGACACAGAGAGAGAGAGAGAGTGAGAGAGAGAGAGAGGGAGAGAGACAACACGCACCTGCACCCGCACCCGCACCCGCAGCACCCGCAGCACCCGCACCCGCACCCGCACCCGCACCGCACCCGCACCAGCAAGCTTGATGCCACGCCTACTAGATCCAAAGCTATAAAGCCTTCAGCGTTCAGCAGCCCTGCATGTTTCAGCCGGAACTCAACCACATGGCATAGCTATTAATGAAACAGCTCCCGTATGTTCCTCTTTGAACAAGCTGAAAATGCATATTCTGAAGTTCGGTCAGAGACGGGAGAGTACCTCATGAACGTCAAAGCACCTGCAACATCTCACTCCTGAAAGAACAGAGAGATGATTCTGCTAGTTAGTCCTAATAAGCCCCTAGTCTGGCATCACAAACAAATCCTGCACCTGGGGGCGGCGCCGCCCCGACCACAAAGTCAGTTCGACCCCCCGATTTCGGGGGTTCAGGTACAACGTGGCTATGAATTTAAATTTGGAACCCGTCCAAAGTGGTTGGACACAAATCCCCATGTAGCTGATGTCCACCAAAGGGCCCGCAATTCAAAATCGTACCCAAAACAAGGCAGTACCCCGCACTCCCGTTTCAGGCACAACCCCGTGCTGCAGAAAAATGGTGGATCTGACGGGTCCACTTGATTGAAGGCGCCTCTCTATGCATCGGCATCCTTCGCCATCGCACCATACGAATCTCCGAAGGGAGCTCCAAGACTCCAAGATTCGATTTCCCGAATTTACCTCATACCGAGGTCGCTACGAAACCGTTTCGATAGTGATCAGCTTCACGCGGAAACAGCCCTGGGTTCTGCCTGCACAAAAAGAATCCACACTGCTCTCCCCTTTTGCACTAGGCAGAAGCAGAACAATGGCGAATCCTCAATCGAAGAATGTGTGTTCTTTAAACCTAAACAATGGCACTCCTTGTTCGCATGAGACATGCAAGAAGCATCCACATTCCAGCTCTGCCTCTCGAGCCAAGTCCGAGCGGGTCAGAAGTTTCGGCCGAAGTTCGGAAGCCACAGCGGGGCGGTCGGTTTGGGCGCTTGTCACCGTGGAAAAGGAAAGAAGACTCGCCATGGCTTAGAGCAAATAGGAAGAGATCTCAAACCTGAGCTGTCTCAGATCCCCCGCTAAAAGTTGAACTCTTAGTGGGTTGAGGGGAAAACCCCACTAAGCACTAAAAGGCTAAAAAGCTAAGGAACCGGATGGCAGCCACCAAGAAACAAGGCGCCCAGAAAGGAGCGCAGAGGAGCGGTCATGAGTCGAGCCCTGCGTCAAAGAAATGACATCGAGAACCTACAGCTGCGTAAAGAGAAATGCCGAGGACTCTGGATTCACCAACTTACAGTCTAGAACTATTTGATCACAAACATCTCCCAGATTGTTTCGGGGTGACCCTTAATGTTGTTTCCCATGTGACGGATTGCAATCTTATTCACGCTGAAGAGCCGGCTGTATGCAAACCGCCGGAAGGCCTGCCTACCAAGTCTCTTGTTCGGAATCTGCAGGCTTCGTTCTGCATATCTCAATGTTCCAATTCTGACCAGCATATCTCTGACTCCAAGCGCAAACAAGAAGGTCTCCCCTCTCTCTCTGTCTCTCGCTCTCTCTCTCTCTCTCTCTCTCTCCCCCTCCCCGGGCGATTGCGAGCTCTCCCTTTCTGCATCCGCGCCTAAATCTATCCGCCAGAGACTGAGGGCTACTTCTGCGGTCAAAATCTAACAAATCAAGGGTTGTAACAATCACAGCAAGGTAAATGCCTAACTGCAAGGGCATTTCCACAAAAAGGAGTGACATGGCAATCGACTGATGGATGGGAATACCTCTGTCAGATTGAACCAAACGCTGTGTCGCATGTGTCCAAAGCTTGCTTGCCTGTTTCTTTGTGCTCTTCTTTGTTTACTTGCAGTGTTGATTGTGTGTGTGTGTGTGCTTGAAACTATTCTTTGTGTCTATTTGTGTCTGCCTGATTGGTTGTATCTTTGTTTGTCTGATTGGTTGCTTATTTGTTAGTTTTATTGTTTGCTTGTTTGTTTCTTTGTCTGCCTGTTTATCTGTCTGTTTGCTTGTGTTTTATTGACCGCTTGTGTGTTGTTATTTTGTTTGCTCGTGTGTGTGTGTGTGTGCTTGATTTGATAGTTGTGATTGTTCGTATCTGTCTGTCTGTCAGCCTGTCTGTCTCTGTCTCTGACTCTGTCTCTGTCGCTGTCTGGGTCTGTGTCTGTGCCTGTGTCTCTGTCTCCATCTCTGTCTCTGTCTGTCTGTCTCTGTTTGTCTGTCTGTGCTTGCTTGCTTGCTTGCTTGCCTGCCTGCCTGCCTGCCTGCTTGCTTGCTTGCTTGCTTGCTTGCTTGCTTGATTGCTTGCGTTTGCGTTTGCGTTTGCGTTTGCGTGTCCGTGTGCGTGTGCGTGTGCGTGGTTTTTCGCGTGGGCGTGTGCGTGTGGGTGTGCATGTGCGTGCGCGTGCGCGTGTGCGCGTGAGTGTGGGTGCGCGCGCGTGTGTTGTGTGTGTGTGTGTGTGTGGGTGCGTGGGTGCGTGCGTGCGTGCGTGCCTGCGTGCCTCCGTGCCTGCCTGCGTGCCTGCGTGCGTGCGTGCGTGCGTGCGCGCGCGCGCGCGCTGTGTGTGTTTGTGTGGGTGTGTGTGTGTGTGTGTGTGTGTGTGTGTGTGTGTGTGTGTGTGTGTGTGTGTGTGTGTGTGTGTGTGTGTGTGTGTGTGTGTGTGTGTGTGTGTGTGTGTGTGTGTGTGTGTGTGTGTGTGTGTGTGTGTGTGTGTGTGTGGGTGTTCTGGGTGATTGTGTGTTTGGGTGATTGTGCGTTTAGTGATTGTGTGCTTGCGCGGTTGTGTGGTTGCGTATTTTTGTGGTTGTGTCTTTGTGTATGTCTGGTGTGTGTTTGCGTGTGCGTGTTTGCATGGTTGTGTGTTTGTTTGTGTGTTTTCATGTATTGCGTGTTTGTGCTTTTGTTGTTTCTTCTTTGCTTGATTGTTTCTTTGTGTTGTGTTTGCGTCGCTCGTTTGTTTGTGCTTATGCGTAAGTCGCTCTTTGTTTGTTTGTTTGCTTGCTTGCGTGCCTGCGTGCTTGCCTGCTTGTTGATGTGTTTCTTGTTTGTGTGGCTATGTGTTTTGTTTGTGTTGGTTCCTGTTTGTAGTTCATTACTTGCTTGCTTGTTTGTTTCATTGTCTGATTGGTTCATTGATAGATTGATTGATTGCTTGACTGATTGATGGATTGATTCATTTATTGACTGACTGATTCACTGATTCACTGATTGATTGATTGATTGATTGATTGATTGATTGATTGATTGATTGACTGATTGATTGATTGACTGATTGACTGATTGACTGATTGATTGATTGATGGATTGATGGATGGATGGATGGATTGATTGATTGATTGATTGATTGATTCATTGTGATTGATTGACCGATTGATTGACCGATTGATTGGTTTTAGTTGGCTTGTGTGTTTGCTTGCGGTTTGTTTGTGTTTGTGTCTTTGCGTGTTTCTGTGTTTATGTATTTGCGCTTTTTTTTGCTTTGTTTTGTGTGCTTCTGTGTTTTGTGAGTTTGATTGCTTGTTCGTTTGGCCGTTTGCTTGCTTGGCGCATGGCTCCGCCCGCTGAGCTTCAGGTGCTGTCTCGCGCCCGGGCGCGGATCAGGCGAGAGACACCTGGCGAAGCGGCCGCAGGTTCGGAGTCGGGGGCGACCATGGTGCCATTTTTGGGGGGTCCCCCATGGTCGTCCACAGTGCACCTTATTTTGGCACAGACCCATATGGCCATTCTTCAGGTAACCCTTGGTTTGGGGATTCGAAGCCATGGTTGTTGTAGGGGGCAGATGGAAAACCTTCCCTCCAATGCCATTTGGCTGTGGCTCAAAATTAAACAGCAGGGGCAAACCGCAGGTCTTGGTCCATGCTTCCACTTACCAGGGCAACCCATTTTGGAATTCCGGTTTTTGGAGCCACAGCCATTTTTTGGGGGGGTCCCCCATGCTCGTCCACAGTGCAACCAATGCAACCACAGAAAAAGTTGGAGTATTTTCCTCACTGATGTCTCAAAACGGGGAACTCTTCTCTTGGATGATTTGAAAAAGGGGAACCGAAAGGACACCAACCACTTGGATGGGGTTTTGAGTTTTGAGACACCCCCAACTTGGATGGGTTTCTTCCTATTTTCACAATTTTTCACATAAGGGTGTGTCAAACATATAGCCCCTTGTTGGACCCTGCCGCCTTGTGCCGCCTCCTATCTGAGCTGCAAGAAAAGGCCCCTAATTTTGACAACCCAGTTTATGTATATGGGGGTGTTCCCCTCCAAAAGTGGTTTGACTCCCCACTAAACCCAGGGACACCCCGCTATTGACAAACTGGGGTTGATTCATATGGCTGTGGGTCAAGACCAATGGTACCATTTTCGGGTAGGTGCACCACCCATTTGAGTCTATAGTGGGGATTGGGATGCTCACTGGGGGTACGATTTGGGTTTTGACCCATGGTACTGTGGATGGACGAAATCCTCTTAGGCACCGCCTAAGAACCCCCTGGTTTCTGATGATTCTCCTGTAAATGCCAACAAACAATGGCTTCCCATGGTCGTCCATCCACAGTATCAATAAGGGGTGTCCCCCTCCACAAGTGAGAAAACAAAAGCTAAAAGAAGACACCCCCCAAATCAAGCAGGGAGTTGATTCATCCGGGGTGAACATTACGCACACCACACCATCCGCTTCAGAATTCAGGCGCCCAGACCCAAACAGAAGCAAAGTTCTCTCGCAATTTGGAAGATGTGGGGCCACCCCGAATGCGTGGCGCCTCAAACGCAACCTTGGAGAGGATCTATGGCATGTACTTGGAAATTCCTCAACTGAAGATGGCATGGTTGGATTCTGGTCCTCAGACCTTAGAATATAGATCGATGATCATTTGAGAGGTACTTTCGAGTAGCTTCTCGCGCACATATATATATATATATAATATATGTATTTAGTTAGTTATTTATAACCCAGCCAGGGTTAAACAGGTTCAACAGGTTCAAGTCTATCGTTCACCCTCTTTGACGTATTCCTTTCAAGGTCTCCCTCTTTTAGTGTTGTTTGGCATGCTCACACTCGTGCTAACCTTTGATGCTTCGAAGTTCGGAACAAAGCCCAGATCTCAATTTGCCTCGAAGGGTCGAGTCATCCTCAGCAACCTTGCTTTGCATTTGCTTTAGGCAACGAGCGTAGCTTGTCATTCTGGAGCATGGCAACCCAATGGCCCAAGCCGCCTCAAAAACAAATCAAAAATAGATTGATGCCATAAAATGAGGGACTCCCTTTCGGATGGTTTCTAAAACCAAAAAGAGACACCTCAATGTTGGGTGTCCTTCATGTTGTTGCATTCTTGAGAAAGCATGGATCCTGCAATTTGAGAAGCCTTGCACTTGGCATCGCTCTGCGTTTTCTTTCCTTCGCGAGAGTTCTGGAGGGCTGAAAGGGCCCAGAAACCTCCAAAGGGCCAGTCCAATGACGAGGAGTAAGCCTCGCTTCCACCATCTCATGGCTTACCAAGTCCAGCCCTCAAGCCTTCAGGGGGCCTTTCGGCCACCATGGGGGACTTGTTTAGGGGATGCTATGTGAGAGGTCCCTGTAAAACCCAAACCCTTTTTTGGGGTCCCAACCCACCTTCGGGGGTGTTTGCTTGGGTATCTGCCCCGTTAAGCACGGGGCGCGCGGATCACTGGAGCTGCAGGGCTCCCTACGGCCAAAACACAAAACATGAATGGCTCTCAGTGCTTGGCCAGTCACCAACCTTTAAGCAGAGTAAATTCGTAATGCAATTACATGGCCATGGTTCAAAACCAAATGTACCATTTTGGGGTAGGTGCACCACCCATTTTAGTCTATAGTGGGGATTAGGATGTTCACTGGGGGTACGGGATTTTGACCCATGGCCACATTCCTTCCATCACAATAACTAGTCAAGGGCAGAAAGTACGATTTACTAAAACTCGCCCAAATTCTAGGGCCCAACGGGTCATGTTTGAAGCCGACTTCCAGGGAGCCCCACATTGAACGCACCTTGGGACAGCTGTCCAA